GGCCGCGCACTAGCGCCGCCACAGCGCCCCGAGTCCCGACGCACGCGCCAACTAATTAAACTCGTTTAATTGCAGTTGTGCCGCTGTTTGCGATACCGAGACGGCCGATGAATACATTTCGCCGGAACTTGCGCCGTTAATGCTGCCTATGATTAATATTTACATTAATTTGTGCAAATTGCCAGCTATAATTTTGCGCTGTTTACCGTCTTCGAGCACCCTTTGAAGTGACCCCGCGCCGGAGTTTATCTTTGCCAACAAGATATTTCGAAGATCTATTTATTATAACTTGCTAAAGGCTTTTTCAATACAAATCCTACAAGATGAATTTATTTTTCGCTGATAATAATTGGATATCTTCAATACACTATCAATCATTTTGATGTACCTAATGTATTGTGTTGGTTTTACTTGTATTTTATTATTTCTATAGTAATCTCTAGTGTTCAATTTCTAGCAGATCTGTAACATCGAAGATAAAATATTTATTTAGAATGCTTATAGATATAGGTACTCACTTTTGCCCGCAGCTTCACCCGCGTGAAATTTAGTCTGTCACAGATCGTCATAAATTATAGCCTATATGTTATTCTGGGTTATAAACAATAATACTGTAAAGTTTCATCAAAATCCGTTCAGTAGTTTTTGCGTGAAAGAGTAACAAACATCCAGACATCCAAACTTTCACATTTAAAAATTAATAAGAATTAGTAAGATCAATAATTCAATATGTACGTTCCGTGCAAACTTGTAGGTATGTAAATAGTTAGTACGTAAGATTAAGATTTTCGAGCAAAAAAAATCATGTTTGTTGTGTGTTAACACTTTATTGAGAGACTTTGCAAATGTTTTGAAATAGAGCCTAGAAACTACGGTCAATGCGCTAGCATTATTATTCCAGTATAAAGTAAATATGTTTATCACCAAGGACGTATGTATCATAATTACCTACACAGTATGTAGTAAACTGCCGAAGATACGGCGCGGCACGAAACATGCACCAATGCAAATGAGCGGAAGCGCGCGACACTATAAATATGAGCGAACAGCCTATTCAATGTACATTGAAACTTGCCTGCATTATTCAGGGAGGATAATCACGATATACTTGTGTGCTTTGCGGTCTATATGTATGTTTTAGTTGTGTCTAGTTAGCCACGAATTGCGTGCTACGAACTACGGGAACTGCGGCCGTTATATTAAAGTGTACATGAAAAATATTAATGTGTACCTGAAGTTAATATAGCTCAGATTCGTTTCAAGTATAAATACTCGTATAGGGATTGAATACAAATCCGTGATTGTGTATCACACATATTAATTAAATCTGTGTTTTTAACTTAACCCTTAAAATATTTTGTGCGAGGGTTGAGCCTCTTTCGGACACGAACGAAGCCCTTTTGCGGTGGCAAAGTTTTCAATAAATTAAAGGTTCTAATTGAAGCTTAACCTCGAAAAAGATGCCACAATACCCCGTGAAAGGCATCAATAGCAGCATATGTTTACAAAACGTGCCCATTTACCACCAGGTACCCGTCCCTTGGCACACTAATAAACAGAATAAAATATTAACGAAACGTTACTTCGATGGCAGAACGGCACGAACTTTACGCCGCAGATTATGGATTATGTAATGTTATAATGCAACTCTATTATCTACCATTATTTATCCATACTCGCATAACCCTAATGGAGGGTTAGGGTATTTTTGTGCTAATCCGACCCGCATTAGTTTTGATCAAAACTCTCCGCGGATAATCTCGCAGGTACCGGAGCGACCGGCGCATGGTAAACGGCCGGCAGCTTATTGCCAACCGCACTTATTAAACGCCCCAACGAGCACTTACACGCACTCACTATTGATTTACGATCACGCACGTTCATATATCGAGCGCGAGCTTTTCAATTCGAGCTTTTATTTCGTGGAAATGACGGACGCAAGGTAATGGCAGTTTCATATTGGCCGCCCGGGCCTTTGGCCGGCGTCGTCGGCTTCAAACTGAAACGCGAGAATGCTTCCTTCCGCTGGAAAACAATTTTCTCCGAAGCACGGCGCCGACATCGGCAATATCCTCGCGCTGCGCTCATCCCGCCCGCGACAGAACGCACGCCATGAGGTACATTTCCGACTACGTACACGGAATGTGGGTACCTACTTCGATTTTAAAACATTTTTTTTATCGGCAACCTGCAAAATACCAGTTTTGTNTTTCGCTTTCGGGTAGTAATATGTCAAAATTGTTGGTTCTTAGGCGAACAATGTATGGAGAACGAACATTGTCCTTTGTAGCAAAAGTGAAAAGTAGAGTCAGAGAGTGAAATAAAGTGTGAAGTAGAGTCGCTTAGTTCAATGACTTAAAAAATACCTAAATCATCATTTAGCGAGCCAAAGCTTCGCGAAAGTAGAATGATATCACGTAAATACCTACCAATGTAGGTATACTACGCAATATAGAACCACTAAAACTTAAGCCCCTAGAGAGCGCCTAGTTGGCGCGTTATTGCACACGCGCGTCATATCGCAACTAGAAAGTATTCGCGTCGCGTCTCGCTGCTAATTAGTTGGCAACTCGAACAGATTTGCGCAACTCCCGCAACTCCGCAACTCCCCGGCCGACAACTTCGTAATCGCTGCGATTGTAACGGATATGCTCTCTTATGGGAACTTCACCTGTGTGCGTGGAACTTTACCCGAAAACTTTCATTCAAGATTTCTTTGCTGTTCGTCGCTAGACAAATATTTCTTTGTTTGTGTTTGTGATACGGAAACTTTTCTCAAGTAGTGATTTCATAATGCCTCCGTCAACATTGAACAAAGAGCGGTCCCAGTTAGTATGTTTGCCTACAATTAATTACATTATTACACAGGTTATTGTTAACACAGTTAGATGTAGGTATTTATTGTTATGTATAATTAAGTAGTAGTTATTAAATAGTTATACTAGACTGCAGTGTCAGTGCTTATTTTGATAGACCAATAATTAGAACTTTGGTTTTAACATTAATTAATTACTACATAATTTTCGCAAAAATATTGTATTGATTTTCTCTTCAAAAGCACCGACCCGTGAAAATGTCGTTTTACTAATCTACAAATGTAAATCATATGAAACACAAATCTACAAATCTAAACGGTCAGTTTATCTGTAGTGAAAAGTAACGACTATTGAATATTTTACTTTTTGATTGAATAACTAAGATGAGAGGAAACGAGTGAAACAGTCGATTGGCTTGTCAAGTAGCTGACACCATTCCAATGTTCTTTTATTCCTCATTCTCACACTGGACAGCCTCCCCCCCCCCCGCACGTCACTACCTTGTTTAATATACCACGCAATCTTGTATACCCATTCTTATAAGATACACCATACAAGAATGCATGGTAAATTCAGTGAACTGCTCCTGAATCGAATGTACCTACTACTACTATTTCTATTTATTTATATTAACCGGCAGACAGTGGTGACTGAGTTTGTTGCGGCGTTTCTTCTCAGCACTTGCCAAATGTTGGTCTCGAAGCGCTGGTAGGGTAAAAAGATTATGAGACATGTAGAGGCTCCTTAAGAGCAAAATGACGATTTGTAAGAACTATTTATTAGTCTAAACAAATAAAGAAATTTTGACTTTTGACTTTTTTTGACACAGGTTATTATTAACGCAGTTAGATGTAGGTATTTATTGTTATGTATAATTAAGTAATATTTTTTTTATATCCACAATGAGGAAGCTCTTGGCCTGTATCTCACCTGAGTATGTATTAAATAGACCCGTGAAAATGTTTACTAATCCATAATGTATTAAAAATGTAAATCATATGAAACGCAAATCTAAATGGTCAGTTTATCTGTAGTAAAGTACTATTGAATAGTTTGCTTTTTGATTGAAAACTAAGATGAGAGGAAACGAGTGAAACAGTCGATTGGCTTGTCAAGTAGCTGACACCATTCCAATGTTCTTTTATTCCTCATTCTCACACTGGACAGCCTCCCCCCCCCCCTCGCGTTGCTTTCAATTAAGTTATTAACGTAACGACCTGCACCGCCCGGACTCTTTATACAAAATGCTAATTCCATCTCCGATTCCCGTTCGATTGGGATTCGACTTTGCACATTTTAATTCGCAACAAAAAAAATGGAATCGCGTTAATTTGAACTATTCTAAATCGGATTAAGTGGTTTGAGTTTGTTTTTAACTCGCTGCGAGATTTTTCTCAGATTTCGTTAATTAAACTGTTCCTGCTCAAGATGAACAATGCATTATTTTATCTCAAAGGATTGGGGTTGATCAATAAGCTACATTTTTTTAGACAATCAAAAGATCCTCATAACAAAGTCTACCAAAATTGCTAGCAAGTCCCAATACAAAATTTTCAGCAGGCACCGTCCTATTGTTCTATGTAATGTACAATGCATCCATATAATTATCATGTTGTTGGTTTATTTTAATATTGGAAAATGAATTTTAGATTTGCATTGGTGTTCAATTCGCAAGGTGATCCTCTAAAGTTGGTGGTGTTAATAATGAATGTCGGCCGTTTGGTGTAGGTAGTGGTTCGAAACGAACTACTATTCCGGAGGTTGCGGGTTCGATTCCCGCACAGTACAAACATTTGTGTGCATGAACATATTTGTTTGCATTGGACTGGGTGTTTTCTATGTGTATATTTATGTATGTATTTATAAAAAAAAGAAGTATTTATAGTACGACCGCTTAAATGAGACCTCGCATGCGGAACGTTTAACGTTAACCACTTCACTGTGACGTCATATATCTTGAGAATTATCCAGTGAACTTTTTTGATTTTATCTCTAGTCTAGTCTAACGACTCCGCCCGCTTCTTAAGATATGTGACGTCATTTAGGCGGTCGTACTATAAGTATATTTATATCCGTTGTCTAGTACCCATAGTACAAGCTTTGCTTAGATTGGGACTAGAAGCGCAGTGTAAAATGTTCAAGGATATTTATTTATTGATTCAAGGATATTAATGTTGTCCGCAGCATCGGAGGCGCCGCTGGGCGTGGGCGGGCTGGTGGGCGCGGCGGGCGCGGGCGCGGGCGCGGTGTGCGCGCTGCTGGCGGGCGCGTGCGCTCTGTGGCTGCGCCGGCGCCGCCGCCCGCGCGCGCTCAAGCCGCCGCCGCAGCCGCCCGCGCGCCCGCCCAAGCCCGACCACGACGACGCCGAGCCCGACCTCATCCCCAACAACTACTGTGAGTGCCGCACACTACTCAATATGACACTCGCCCTTGTATGGTGTTTCTTACAATTATTATTTTAGTCAGTGAATCCTTGAAAGGATGCGCAATACCTACTAACAGTAGCCCTATTCACGCAACAAAACTTCAACGACAACAAATCGCTGAATTGTGATCCTATCGAGTAATCGTTCTATCGAAAATACGGATTCAGAAATGTTTTTCAATAGGATGATTATTTTCTAAACATCAACGAGATTTTGACTGTGTCAAAATACGTGAATTAGGCCACAGCAAGGGCGTATTTCTATAAGTTGTACGTAAAACACCAACTGCATCATGACTGCGACATCTGGACCGTGACTGTATCACCACATCTCACATCTAGTCACAAATACACAAAGCCACGATTCATCCACGCTGGCTACTCGTACTGGACAGGACACCACAATTATGTAGAGGCAAAAGGAACGTAGACGCCTCTGCAACCGCCTATAATACTGTATTTGTTCCCGGCTTAGTTTGACTGACTGACTCCCCGTTGTAAAGACGATAGGACTGACCCAAGTTGCACGCCTTGCTAATAGACCATTGAATCCGACACTGACATCCATACAATGGGAGAATGAGATAACCAAGACTAATACACAAATTCAATATACTGAAAATACGAGTGGACAACGTAAAAAATTAAGGTATTAAAAATTAAGATATAATAGGTAAACCAAGTTCTTGTTAAAATCTTAAACGATTCAATCCTTTAAAGCCCCACTCACATATTTTTTATCCCGAATGTAAAACTTTTCAATTACGACCGCCCATATTGACATTCAGCACGTAAACATAACACTTTAGAACCCAGTAATGAAGGATCAGAATCCCCGCTCCGTAGCGCCCGCGTCGAACAAAAACCTCCCGCGCATAATAAGGGTTTAAGCATTAATAAGGCCGCGGCGACACTGCGTGCCCCATGCATGCCAAATGCGCCGCCGCAATGTACCCGCACCTTTATATTCATCGACGCCATTACTATTTAAGAAGGCAAGGCGTATTTGTTCGTAGATATCGAATATTTACATACAAAAGATTGATAGGAGGAACCTGGTACAAGAGAACTCTCTTATTTATGTGCGCGAACGTCTCCGTGTCATGAATAAAATTTGTTTCATAACTCAGATCAGAGATTACGAATCTCTACGCCGCGATAAACGCCGGGGCGGAACAATAGAAATAACGCATAATACATAAACATCGCGAACCGAAACATCTGCTTCAGCTTCAATCGCTCAAATCTTCGTGAAGTATAAATAATACCCGTAATACAATGACGCAATCGATATTGAAAATCTTATTTATATTTTTTTTTATATTGTACTACATATTAAATTCTGTCTACTATTGACCTAAAGCAGCTGTTATCAGTTTGATAAATTGTTGTTTATGTTATGATGTAGCTTGCAATGACTGCATCGGCTGTAAAGGCTGAAGATGACGATGTACTAACAAAGATAAAGAATGTGAATTACCAAAACATACGGTTGCAAGCGAGGTTTCGTTTCAAAGTTGCCTCTTGAGCCACAAGTAGCTCTACAGATAGATCGTCCACTGGTGCTTAAAACATCGTGTTTGTGCAATTCAGACAAAGCACGCAGAATAGTCATTCAAATATTCATGTTTGGGGTAACGAAAAAGGCAGCGGTTAAAAGCCAATACTCATAAAAGCTTAATATGGGCCGAATTTGTCGGTGATGTAGCGGCGCGCCAGGCAACGCTCGTTGCTGCATCATTTTTGCATGGGTACTCGTTGTTTTTGGAAAATCAATAATAGCCATATCGTTAAATAGCTGCTAAATCTTTTAAATTCACTGAATATGTTACGTAAAATGTTTTATAAGAAATACTTACATTGATTGCTTTAAGAATCACTTTATGAATTGACCGCGGTTTAATTGGTGTGTGTAAACAATGCTTATGTATAATAAATTGGTATGTGTAAACAATAATAGGACTACATTTTCTATTAAAATTGACTTTGGACATTAGGGACTAAAATACAAAGTAATGCATGCGCCGCAGATTTATTTATCGAGTCGTTAATCCGGTTCACATTGTACAAGATTAACAGACTATGGAAAATCTAATGAAGGTGGCGGCGGCCGGCGCCGGGCGAAGTCAAATCGCCAACACGATTAGGGCCGAACTAATATTGTGCCGGAGTGGCGTGAGCTGGATTACGCCGCCGCCGGACCGCCGAAACCGGTACCGCCGGGGCTCGCCAAATACCGATTCTTGCCTCGTTAAAATTATCGTTCTATTCTCTTGGTTCGGACGCGGTGCATGTATCCGGATCTTCTGGGTGTTCTGGGAGCTTTTATTTCGCATACAATTTGATAAATACTTATATTAGGACTTTAGGATAAGACCCGTTTTGTTCTGCTGGACGTTTCGCCGAATTGCGATTTTTTAAAGATCAGTGTTCTCACTCGTGGAACTTAATAAATACTTAATATTATTATAACGTGTACATGCGTATAATAATGCGTAAGAAAGCGTAATGAAGCAGTTTATTTTTTATGTTAATAGTTTAAGTGTATGAAAATCATTTAATAATAATTTTGCCACCGTGCACACTTCTTGTTCAAGTTACATGTTCGCAGTCGTCATTGGTTTTCAGAGACATTGGTTTCATATTCAGATTGGAGTGATGTAAAGCATTCGCGGAAATCCACGTTCTTGTCTCCGGCGCGCGTAAGCGACGTTGTCAAAGCACAGCGCGGGCACCGGCCACGTAGGCACCCGGAATAATGCATGCCGGCGGGAGCAGCGCCATCGCCGGGCCCGGAATAATACATGCGGGCGCGTGCGGGTGCGATGAAAAACACGAGATGGCGTAATGTAATCAGAGACTGCAGTCGTCAAAGGCCGTCGCCTGCATATAGCGCACGCACTAGCGTCCGCCTCTCCTTGTGTTGTTGTATTTTCTCTGGTTTTTGTAAAGTTAAGCAGCGTTAATTGATGGAATTATTATCATTTTCAATATAACTTAATTGCAACTTGCAACGAATAAGCTTATCTCCAGCTAGAGTGTTCAGCCAGTTTACAAATAAAATTTCAAGGCAGGTATAATTAGTAAGTATTTCTGATCCCCTCAATAGTAGGTATATTAAAGTAGGTGTCACAGTTGGAAGAATTAATTAAATGTTTGTAAGTTAGAAATCAAGTTTAAACGAGAACTTTAATATGATTCTGAGTATTAATACACTTAATATGTTTAGGCTGACAAACTGTGCTAGCAAGTTACATTAATTTAACACGTTACGGAAACTTTGTCAACGCGTCATCATCGCGCACGCTTCGCTAACTCGGCGACGATTTATCAATCCCAACTAGTGTCGAGTAAAGTTCGTCCGCATTATCTAAATCGAGCAGTTTGAAGAGACGGAAGGGTCGCGTGCGGCACGACACGCCACGCGCCGGTGCGACGCGCCGCGACTCCGCGCGACGCGCCCTAATCACAAGCTATATCTGCGCCCGCCCAACTTATAAGCGAGGCCTGCGCTAATGAGCCTATGGCGATCGACACATCTAGCGCTAATCCAGACTCTATTTACCAAATATGTAAACAAATGCACGTGTTCAAAATACACATACTGAAATATAAGGATATTTTATTTTAACACATTTAAATGAAACTATAGTCTCATCTATAAAATTGCCAGTTTTTTTTACAGATTTAAGTATATAATTTTTGTAATTTCAATAGCTACTATTTAGGCCCGATTCGACCAAAGTTTTGTCCTAGAATAACTGGCACATTAACAGTCAGTGTAGGAAATATGTCAAAACTGACGATTTATTATGAGATTAATATTTACTCTTGTTTGGTCGAATCCACCTTTAGTCGATGTGTCTCAATGTAGTCCTCACAACAATTTCATTGGTTACGTAATGATGGAATAATTAATATCGTTTTATTTACTGAAAAAAAAAACAATTAAAAACGTAAAATTCAAATTACAGGTCGTTTCAAAAGATGAGCTAGACAACCGCTCGCGCCCAGNGCGCCCATCCCGTGAGGCGCACGAGCCTGTTAACAATTAAAAAGCCATGTAAATCAGTTGAGCGCCGCGTACGCGCGTTATTATAATACGTTGTGCGCGAATTATTGCCGTCATAACTTGCCGCGTCACGCCCACGCCGCCGCAGGACAATAGCGCCGGAAAAAATGGCCTGGCGTGCAGGCGTTCGATTTGCCATTTTATTAGCTGCGGAAATGAGAGTTCAATTCGGGTTTGAAAAAAAAATTCTATTGGCAATAATATGTGCATCATAATTTTGTATTTGTTTTTAATTCCCTTCCTTGTCGGAAAACACTACAATACGACTGTTGGATAACTTGTGCTAAAATAGGCAAAAGGTAATTACTTAAGTATTATGTATTAATCTAGGTAATAACTTAATATGCCCCGCATTAAATGATCGTACATACTTAGTTGGAATAGCGAGCTTAACAGAGAAAACCAACACCAATCGACCGCACAACTTAGAGTTTCAAAATAAACATTCATAAGGCACTAAAATGTTAATACCCAGGGAAGCGGCCGGGAACGGCAAATAAAATAATATTGATATTGTATTCATAAGTGTGGGCTCGCCGGGGGCGGGGCGGCCATAAATCGCGGGGATAATGAATGCTGCTCTCGCCGCGATATAAACGGCGTGTGATACAGCGGACTATGCGAGCGCGCCCGAGCCGCTGCGTCGCGCTGCGCCGGCGCACCTGCCTGACTTCATTCGCTGCCTTTAGTAGATACGCAAAAGTATTTTTTCGCCGATTATTCTTACGTTGAGTGATACTCTGTAAGAAACTAAAAGCGTTAACAACTATTCAGAATGACATTGAATAAACGTAATAATAATAATTGAATAAACTAGTCCAACGGGAAAGTGGTGAAAGTTTTTCATCGCCGCTGCGCCATCTGGGAGAGGTGTTTGTTGTTGTTGCTTATCGTTACTAATCTATAATTTAATTAGGTAAGTACCAAATAAAAAGGAAACGACTGAGGGGCCCTTAAGACAATGTGAAACTAGAATGCTCATGAATACGTTTAGCGAATGCGAGATATTTATTGAGATATTTCCTACAAAAAGTGGAACGCAGAAAAATATCAGTTCAATCTCAAATATGCAACTAGCGTCGATAGAGTTGAGTGAATAAAGTCTGATACAATCGCACGGCGACCAATGAAGTTGTGTACTATTGAAAAATATTTTCAAACGGAGCTGCGCGAGACCGGTGCCGAGAGTCGCTGTAGTTTATTCATGAATATTGATGCGGCATCGTGAATATTCAGCGCGGCGACACTCGCAATTGAAAACACGCCGCAAGTGCGACCGCGAGCGGAGCGACGTCGCAAGGGCGACCGCGAGCGGAGCGACGTCGCAAGGGCGACCGCGAGCGAAGCGATGTCGCAAGGGCGACCGCGAGCGGAGAGACGCCGCAAGTGCGACCGCGAGCGGAGCGACGTCGCAAGGGCGACCGCGAGCGGAGAGATGCCGCAAGTGCGACCGCAAGCGGAGCGACGCTGCAAGGGCGACCACGAGCGGAGAGACGCCCCAAGGGCGACCGCGAGCGAAGAGACCTCGCAAGTGCGACCGCGAGCGGAGCGACGCTGCAAGGGCGACCACGAGCGGAGAGACGCCCCAAGGGCGACCGCGAGCGGAGAGACGTCGCAAGTGCGACCGCGAGCGGAGGGACGCCGCAAGGGCGACCGCGAGCGGAGAGACGCCGCAAGTGCGACCGCGAGCGGAACGACGCCGCAAGGGCGACCACGAGCGGAACGACGCCGCAAGGGCGACCGCGAGCGGAGAGACGCCGCAAGTGCGATCAAGAACTCCAATGAAAAAATGATTCAACTTGTTATATCAACTCCTCGTCCTCCAAATTATTATTATTATAAAACTTTATTGCACAATAAAATAGTACAAAAGATGGACTTAATGCTATATGAGCATTCTCAGCCAGTCGACTCCTGGGTTATGCAGAAATAATAGTAGAGTTCCAAATAATAGTAGAGTTCCTGTTTCCATTTACAAATATTAATCTATCCAGCCAACCAAAGCGAAGTCCAATGAATTTATTATTACCCGTCAATTAAATAAAATTAGCCATATTACCCGTCAAGAATAAGCTATACCAGCGAGGTGTAGTACGCAGAAGCTATTAACGGAGGCAATTTGAATAAACCGAAGCACATTAGGGCGTAGGCGGCGTGCGCCAATTAATTATTTCTTGCCCTGACTTACGCTCGCCATCTTTGAATGTAGTGATTAATCAGGTTTTTTCCCGGACGGGCGGGGATAAATCTCCGCCGGGACAAGCGCAGAGCCGGAATCTGGGCCGTTATTTATGTGCCCGCAGCCTGTCCCGATGCACCGGCCGGGCCGCTCTAAACAACGCGCACCAAATTAAATAACCTCCCGCCTTATTATTTAAAACGGCCAACTTCTTAAATGGACAAAATTCTTAGGGCGGTTAAGGAAACTTTCCGCCGTTGTTCTTGGGAGGCGGGATTAAAATTGATGCAAATCCAACTGTAATTTGTTTTGAAATACGAAAATTGTTTCTTTTTTCGCTTTTGAGTGTAGGTTAGTTGTTCATCTACTAAAGCCTTACTAACAACACTAGGAATCGAATCATTTCTAATTTACGAGCGAACAATTGCAAGGCTGCACACCTCAAAAACACAATATTAATTATTGCTAGAGTCGGATGAATTGCCGGAGCTTAAATGAAAACACAGTGACTCATCAGAACACGAACGTGTGGGCATCAAAGGAAACGAATTAACGTCGGTGCAGGCGAGGCCACGCGAGGCGCGAGGCAGCGAGCGCGGGCGGCGCGAGGCGTGGAGTATAATTGCTCAGCGCAGACTCACAGGCTAATCGCGTCTTCTGCAGCGTCCCTTATAAATACGATGCTCGCAATACAAGTCGCGCTCGGAAATTGGAAACACGTTCGCTTCGGACAATTCAATGGCAAATCGCCGGTATTAAGGCGTGACTGGCGAGGATGGCTCCCCAGCACCTACCGCGGCCCCTCATAGACATTGCACTCTCATCTATTTCCGTACGCCAGGCTACTTCATCTATTGTACCTATTACGTAATAGGCGCCGTTCAGGAAACCTTTCATGTCACACCAAAAGTGTAATTCACCTTTGCTAAAGCTGAGTTGCTCCATCTAACTTTAACCGTAACTATGACGATAACCAGTGCTTTTTGTATGTAGTTCGACAGATTTTTGTCGTTTGTTAAAAAAATTTAAGTAAGATGGTGCAACCCAGCCTTAATTTATTATTAGCACTGAAAATGATACGCTAATTTTTGTTTGTTAAAAACAATTTGTATCCTCTAGTATATTTATTAATTGTCAAAGTTTTGTACTATGAAAGCAATCTTTGAAAATCTTTGATATCACACCACAATATCAAACTTATAAGCAAGGGCTCCTTGAACAAGATTTGCCAATATTTAAAGTACTACAAAATTCAATTATTACATCCATACAATTTACAAAGACTCATTTTTAATTTCACTCACTCGCTTTAATGAATCGTAGACATCGTAGTATTCGTAGTAATTCGGGAGACACGAGCCTGCTACGGCTGCTACGGACTACGGCTACGCGTCTACGGTCACAGCTACAGAATACGGGGCTACCCATAAATTATTTACATCCCTTTCTTTGGATTTTGAACAGTCGTACCTTGTTGAGGCTTACAAAAGTCTCTACTGTCAATGTCTAATCTATGTATACTGTCAGCATTTGTTTGCAAACACTGCTATGATAAAAATAATTAAATGAACAGTTAAAATTAAATCTTCTGAGTTCTCTCAAACCTATACCTGTACGTACACTCACTCCACATACTGCACTTGCTAGTACTTATCCGCCCCGTAAGTTTACGGATGTACACAAAAAAATAGTTATCTTATAAGCGTATCAAAATCGGCTATAGTATGGTTTAGATACCTAGCGGAAAAACAGACGCGGAATGTTTTATACTCTTTGGATGGTAATATAATATACTCAACATCAAATAAATCGCACCTTCCGCGACGCGAACTTTAAAGATTTTCTTCTGACACAATCATGGTGCCCCAACAATATTGGTGTTATTTGAAAGCCCAATAAATATCCATAAAGAATAACACATTCAATTTGTTAATAAATGATTAACATAATTATACCATAAATGTGACTTGAAAAAAGACCTCACTTTGGGCTCACCTCTGGCATCAATTAGACCAATTTTTATGGTTATAAAACCAAATAATGATCTCACGTGTCCTCTTTAACCGATGGATAGCGATTAATCCCAACTCAACAGTTTTATAGCCTTAAAGTTGGCTCAAGCGTAACTACCTATTTGTAGTGACTCTGGATCCTTCTAAAGACACATTTTTGGGGTAAAAACCTTTCCTATAATGAAATCAAGATTAGAACTGGGCTTTTAAGTTGTGCCAATATTGGTGGGAATTGGGGATGCATACGTTTAAAAGTGCTTGTCGCGGGAGGTGCGATTTATTTGACGACGAGTGTAATTAATAATAATAAACAAATATCCTTGGACATTTTTACACTAGGTACGCTTCTAGTACCAAACTAAGCAAAGCTTGTACTATGGGTACTACGAGTAGACATCCGATATAAACATACTTAAATACTTTTTTTTTCTAAATACATGCACATTTTACATAGTACAATAGTTCCGTTATTTAGCGAGCCATGAGTTTGTGACGAATGCAATGCTTCTGCCCGCAGGCGAGGCGGCCAGCGCGCCCAGCGTGGCGGCGGCGTCGCCCGCGCGCGCCGCGCCTGCGCCGCTCACCACGCCGGTATGTATCTTATATTGTCTTTATTATCTATACAGGGTGTTAGGTAAATGGGTATATGAGCCGACACTAGCCCATGTTAACATGGTCATATAAATGGTATGGTGAAGTCAGAAAATTTATATCTTCATTTTAATTATTATTTTTTTCATACAAATTGGATTTTATAAAATTTATTTTTTATGAAAATTAAAAATATTAAAATGATGATATCAAATTTCTGACTTNTCAGATTTGTATGAAAATTTAAATTATTAAAATGATGATATCAATTTTCTGACTTCGCCATACCATTTATATGCATATGTTAACATGGGCTAGTGTCGGCTCATATACCCATTTACCTAACACCCTGTATTAGTATTAAGAAGAAATGTATGTTGGTCGCGGGAAGAGCCTGGATGCGGGCAGCGCAGGACCGTTCATTGTGGAAAACGTTGGAGGCCTTTGTCCAGCAGTGGACGTCATTTGGCTAAAACTAACGAACGTATGTTTGTATTGAATAGGCTCCGGAATTACAGAACCGATGTGAAAAAAATATTTCACCGTAAGTATCCTATTTTTTCTGATGAGCATAGGCATACAGGTAGTTGATGTATCCCCACAAAAATACGACTGCAGTATCGCTATTGGCTCTTGCTCCACTTTTGCCCAGTTTATTTTATCCCGTACTTCGGTGTTTGGAACACAATTTCATAATATTTTAGGTTTAGGTAAAAACACTATATTTTTACTTACTTTTCATTCGCAAGCTTCCGTCGGGATTTTTCTGAAACAATAACAATTATTTTTAAATAATCAAACATCATTCATTTTTAAATGAAATAAAAAAAACATAAAAATAGACATTACAGGGTGACATTGTAAAGTGTAGTTAAATTTTATAATAAGCTCTATTAAAACCAATATAACAATAAGTAAGTTTGACTTTTTTGTAATTATTTTTAATCATAGTATTTTACGAAAAACATTCACTTTCAAGACGAGCGTCATTTTCCTATAAATGAAGTAAATTATTCAAGCGTGCTATTTCTAGGAATAATTACGTAATGAAAAAATGTTCTTTACGTACTTAATTGGTTAATGTTACTGATTCTGAGTAACTCTTAAAAAATTAGCAACACCTTTCAATGTCGACATGTACGAGTAAAATAATACATAGTAAGTATAATTTTTATTTGTTTACGTTGCATTGTGTGTGATCCTAAATCCTTTGTGTGTGATACACACACAAAGGGTGCCACTACCCTGGTGCAATCTGCAATCATTCTGTCGTAGCCCGGACTGCCATCAATCCGCGCGGGCTCATCCCGCCAACCAAAAGCACTCAAACCATCGACTTGATTTAAGCTTCGAAAAGAGAACTTAGCTTCATGTTATTTATTTGTTCAACAAATACGTATCCTATTCATTTCATGTTTTCTTGTATATNATTTATTTTTTATGAAAATTAAAAATATTAAAATGATGATATCAAATTTCTGACTTCACCATACCATTTATATGACCATGTTAACATGGGCTAGTGTCGGCTCATATACCCATTTACCTAACACCCTGTATTAGTATTAAGAACAAATTAATGTATGTTGGTCGCGGGAAGAGCCTGGATGCGGGCAGCGCAGGACCGTTCATTGTGGAAAACCTTGGAGGCCTTTGTCCAGCAGTGAACGTCATTTGGCTGAAACGAACGAACGTATGTTTGTATTGAATAGGCTCCGGAATCACAGGACCGATTTGAAAAAATATTTCACCATAAGTATCCAATTTTTTTCCGATGAGCATAGGCCTGATGATGGCATAGATGTATCCCCACAAAAATACGACTGCAGTATCGCTATTGGCTCTTGCTCCACTTTTGCCCAGTTTCTTTTATCCCGTACTTCGGTGTTTGGAACACAATTTCATAATATTTTAGGTTTAAAAACACTATATTTTTACTTACTTTTCACTCGCAAGCTTCCGTCGGGTTTTTTCTGAAACAATAACAATTATTTTTAAATAATCAAACATCATTCATTTTTAAATGAAATAAAAAAAAAACAGAAAAATAGACATTACAGGGTGACATTGTAAAGTGTTGCTAAATTTTATAAAAAGCTCTATTAAAAACAATATAACAATAAGTAAGTTTGACTTTTTTGCAATTATTAGTCAAAGTCAAAGTCAACATTTCTTTATTTGTTTGGACTAATAAATAGTTCTTACAAATCGTCATTTTACTCTTAAGGAGCCTCTTCATGTCTCATAATCTTTTTACCCTACCAGCGCTTCGAGACCAACATTATTAATCATAGTATAGTAGTAGTCAACTACATATTTTTAATCATAGTATTTTTCGAAAAACATTCACTTTCAAGACGTGCGTCATTTTTAGGGTTCTGACATTGTGTGTGATCCTAAACTAAGTATTTCTATTTTGTATGTTATTAATTAACTAAGATACACACACAAAGGGTAGTGGCTACCCTGGTGCAATCTGCAATCATTCTGTCGTAGCCCGGACTGCCATCAATCCGCGCGGGCTCATCCCGCCAACCAAAAGCACTCAAACCATCGACTTGATCTAAGCTTCGAAAAGATAACTTAGCTTCATGTTATTTATTTGTTCAACAAATACTTATCCTATTCATTTCATGTTTTCTTTTATACGAGTACACAGCGGAACCTGTTGGCTCGTTCACTTGTCCACTCAAACCGTAATAGGAACCGCCGGCGAACTCTATCTTTGTTATAATAAAAAGTGTAACAATCGCTATGTCATCATTACGTCGACAAAATATTTCATAGGCGCTCGATTTCCCCCATATTCGGCGCGGATCCGAGATGAAGCGATCATAAAAGTGCCCGCGCGCCACATAAACTCGCCGGCTCCAAACGAACTGCGACTTAGCACGATTTTATCTACTTAAAGTTAGCTGCCGTTTATTTTATGTGAACGATCGGCGAGTCAGTGAGTTCTGTAATAGGTGGAGCGCGGTGGTCACTGGTATCTTTACGACGGTCGCTCCCAATAACCCGGCTGCTTTATGTCCCGTCGCAGATACAGGATCATATTTCTTTATGGCGGGTCCCGCGGGCGCGCTATCAGCCGGGCGCGCCGCGCACGCTACATGCACGCTACGCGCGCGTGTCGCAGGGCAGATATTTACACAAATTAGACATTATCTTTGGAAAGAAAAAAGTTTTTGTTTTATTTTAATTTTAAATACATAGTTATGTTAAATATCTTTGAATAAGGACATCTTAGCTATTACGATAGTCAAAAATTAGCAAAAAAATAAGCACAGCAAAAGACAGAATTCTTCAGCATTTCATACGAATAGTACAATAAACAAAATGTGAAACCTACGACATACCTACACTTCATAATATTTTATCACCAATCACTAATTACTTAATACACGACACATACTTAACCCATACTTATAAAACATACAACACAATTATTGATTTTTTATCGTTTTTATGTTCTAATAATAGTTTTAATAGTTTTAAGTACCTACCCAAAATATTGTAAAGTTATCTCCTGGCCTCCACGAGACAGGCTTGCCTAGTGTGGAGTCCAAGATTAATATGAAAAATGTAATTGTTTTTCTTGCAATAAACGATTTTATTATTATTATCTCCTGACATACAGTGTGTGAGTTCGTTAGCACGGTAGTGGAGGCGGCGGCGGCGGCGGCGGAGTACGGGGCGGCGCCGCCGCGCCGGCGTGCGGTTTGCTTATTAAGTTGGTGCGGCGACCCAATCAGCGCACCGNAATCAGCACCGCACGCGCCGCCGCATCGCACCTTCCGAAGATTAAAATATTTGAAGATCCTCCAAAACTTTATCGTATTTACACAGAAACTTCCTTCGAATTTACTTCGCAAAGTCCCCATCAAATAGAAACATGGAACTTCATTTAACTGAGTTACGAACCGATAAAGTACCGAACGAGTTGAATTTTAATATTAACTCTTCGACGAAAGCTAAGTTCGTAAAGGTTAATGGTAATCGAGTTGAGTGTTCTTACGAAACATTGTAATTAAAAGGCTGGCAAGTGGAAGCCGGCGCGCGGCGCGAGGGCTGAGCGCCGGCGGCCGGGCTCCGTGCTCGAGGCCTCCCTCGAGGCAGGCTCCGCAAGGCGCACCCGTCGGCGAATGAGACATCCGTTTGATTTGTGCGTCCAATTTTCAAGTAAACGCGAGTTAAAAGCGATATTTCATGCGGCGCTCTTATTGTTCGCTAGATCACGCATCGGGCCACACTAAAATGCATCTGCTCCTCCAACATTTATCCTTCCCTATTAGATTTTTCTTCGTATCCAGACAGGAAGCAATATTCTCCTTTTCGTTTTTACGAATGAGTAGGTAAGTGAGTACTTGAAAATTGCACGTCCTCAGTTTAACGATTACCGTAAAGTTACCTAATCGTACAATAGCAAAGCGGATAATTGTTCAATGTGTTATTAATTTGTGTCGCCGTCGCAGCCCCGGCCAACGGACGTCACGGGTGACGCGTCAAAGATTGGCCAGCGGCAACCGACCTCCTCTTATCTAGCGATAACTCACTCACAGCAAATTCCCAACAAAAGAATACAGGCAGAACAGAAACACCTCTTTAGCAATAAATCCACCTGCACCTGATTAAATATACGTATAAAATCGCGGAGCGAGCCTTTGTCAGAGGGCGCGGACTAACAAGGGACGTTTTAATTAAGTCCCGCGATAGTTTTATCAGCGGACTCTTTTGTCGCATCACCTGGAGGCGCGGCGTGAGGGCGCCGGTTCAGCGCGCGCTAGTTTTAATTTAGCGTTATCAGTACAGGACAATGGCGGCTAATTCGGTGGAGGTCGCGTAACGTAGCGGCTCCTGATTGCGCTGGACCAGCCGCGCCGCCCGCGTTTGTAACTTACAATAACATGGATATCAGATCGTTCACTCATAAATTCACACTATCGAAAATATTATCGAAATTCGGATTACACATTGTGTAATACACAATGTTAAACATACGAATTTTGAAACTAATCTTGTCCAATGTAACATTTATGTTGACTAATGTCAAATGATTATGTGCTTAGTATGGTTGGTGTTCCTTGTCGTAATAAACAGTGGTCATGTTGTCGGCAGGCGTGCAACGGGCCGGGGCCGGGACCGGGACCGGGACCGGGACCGGGGCCAGGCGCGTCGTGGACGTGGGGCGCGCGCACGCGCGAGACGGCGCGCGACGCGGCGGGCGCGGGCGCCACGCGGCTGCTGGGCCGCAGCGCGTCGGCCACGCTGCGCGCCGCGCCCGACCTCAACGTGGACGCCATCAAGGAGAAGCTGCTCGACCACCGGATCCCCGAGTCCTGCGTCTAGTGGCCCGCCCACACTCCCGTCTGTTGGCCGTTCATCGACATGTGCGAGCGGCGCGGTGGCAGCGCGCGTCTTCTGCGGTGCGAACTCGCATTCTCGGCGGCCGCACACGTTCGACAGACCCCAGTGTGATAGGATACTAAGAGCGTTTACGTTTCGCGATACCTCAAAATTTTTCAAAGACGATTAGCCATAAAGGGCATACGCTGTAACACTCGGTCGCACCAATTTTTCAGTCCGACGTTGTATGTAGGTATTATATCACGCAAATAACTGTCTTCCTTGCATATAGGTAAATATTTACTAAACAAAACACCATTTATATGTGAAATCACAATATGCCAAAATTAAATAGATGTAATTGAACATAGAGTTCTGATAAAAAACTATTCAAAGCCTGAAAATGTGGTGATTTTATTATTGTTTGAGCTTGGCATTCTAGTATTTTTGTATTATAGATACTTAGCACAATCCCAGCTTAAACGGTATATTGCATGGAAATTTTTTCTCTTTGATTTGATTCTATATCGGACAAAAAATTGGTCATAATAATATGTACATATTATACGATTCTCTTAAAGTGTTTGGAAACACTTTAGCTTCCATCGTCGAGCCGCTAAGACGTGCTCGCAAACGTTTGCGCACATTACACACCAACTCGCGTTCGACAATGTTTGCCTGGCTCGCACTCGACGCAGCCGGAGAGCAGTCAAGCGTCATACGGAGGCGCGAAGTTAGTGCTCATGAATTTTAATTAATCGTGATTGCGAGGTGTAGTTTCAAACAAACCAACGGTTTGGATTTTCTTACTCGAGTTCGAGCGGTCAGATCCGTATGATGATAATGGTGGCCGCCTCCCGAAGTCCCGAACCCCGGCCACGAGTCCGAGCTGGACCGCCGCGGCGCCGGAGCACGGGATGCCTCGGGCCGGGGCCGGGGCTACGAACGGTAATTGAATCGCGGCTTGATTGAGAGGTGCGGCCGCGGAGGTGTTTCGTTGTAAGTCCTTGCGAGCGCTGTCCTATGTAAATGTCGTAGGTAGGTAGCTGTTGCCGTCGCGTCGTCGGCGGACCCGCGGTAATCTTCTAACGTGTTTCAGAAATATCACTTACAATTCTTTTAAGAAAAACCAATTGACGCATTTCCGGTTCCCTTTTCCGGTTACTGATTTCAATTTTGTTCAAAATATTATTTCACAGAAAAGTAATTGTTCAGATTAATTGTTTTATTAAGTTAACTCGAAAGTGTTCATTATTTTTGCTTAAGTTAGATATTTCTAAGACAAGTAGGAAAGAAAGACTTTAACTACATCTGTAATATTGTTTTTAAACAATTCTGTGATGTAAATAGTAGTGTTAAGCGACTGAGTCTTTGCCACTTTTTTACATGTCTACTATGAAACTTTAGCTAATGTTTACCGGTTATGAGTCCGTGGAGAGGTGATTCATTCATCGTTATCTGTATAAATCGAATAAATAATTCTAATGTAAATAATGTTTGTACTTGACTCTTAAGATTTTAGGTAACTAAATATAGGTAAGTAAGTGCGTACTTAGCGGGCAGCGCACCCGCGGCCCTGGGTCATGGTGTTATCGGTTGTACAGGACGTTGACGATAGCATTCAAAAAGTTTCTTTAATTCGATTCATTCTCCTAATTTTGTGACGTGCGCCGTGTCATTTGTTCAAACATGTCACTTGCAAGCTTGCAACGTCTTATTAGCATACTCGTATTAGGGAAGTTGTCATGAATTTATTTTTGTGTAGAATCATATTTTCTTGTTACGTGTTCGTACGTTTATTATGTTTTGTATGAGTACATGTAAAGTTACTATACGTAGAAGATTCAGTTTTTATTATGTTATGAAGTTGTAAAAATAATAGGTATTGACTTGTTTGAACAATAAAGTGCAAAAGTGATCGGTGGCACCTAAAGTGCATGAGCAAGACTTATACTACTTGACATATCGGCTAAGAGACGTATCACACACATGTCGCCTAAAGACGTGTGCCGCCGGGCGCAGGCGCACCTTGGCGTACTACATATCCGCGCGAGCCGTGTTGCATCACGGCATCATCAATGTTTCCAGTTTAGTTATAAACAGACTGACGTATGTGAACTTGTAGATATCATAATTAGGTAATTTATTTAATTTGTAAGTAAGAAGTGATTTGTTATTATAAAGTTTAAACAACTCTAAGAGTTCGCCCTACTGTTGACATATTTATTTTGGACGAGATTAAAGGTTGTCTTGAAACTTTAAGTGTGTCTTTTTATGTTTAGATTATCCTAATGATACAATTCGAGGTTCCCAAAATGGTAACGCTGTAATTTTGTTAACGCCGACAAAACAAGCTTTTATATTCTAAAATGCAGTTGTACTAAAACGGAAAAAATAATTGTATGCAAGGTTCAAATAATTTCGAAAGCTTGTAGCGCTAACAGAAAAAGAGAGCGCGAACGATTCCATGCGCGATACAAGCTTTCGAAATTATTTTAACCTTGCATACAATTATTTTTTCCGTTTCAGTACAACTACATTTTAGAATACAAAAGCTAGTTTTATTATAATTTTTCAAATTCATTTCGTCTCTATTGCGGAAGGAAGGCGGAGTAAATACCTACCTGATTTATTTATTTATTTCAGTAAGTACCTAATCGAAGTTTATTGACTAACTTTTTTGAAAATATTATTTTATATCAGCAAAATATAGGATTATCAACAGATAAAAAATATTAGGTACCTACGACTTATAGTAATTTGAACAATTATTATATTCTGGGAATAAGTTGATTAAGGAAAATGCTATAATTAGAGTGCCTTTGATACGATAGCGTTATAGGTACAGTTGACAGCACATGAGGCCATAAATTATAATGAAATTCGCCGCTATTACAATTAACTGTGTACGTAAGTTGCTAGTATTTACCTGAATGTGCCGTTGTGCGTACATGGTCCATTACTGATTATATTATTGTTATAGTTGTGGTCGGTGCGTACACTCGGTTTTGTACATTGGCAAAACTGTGTCACACATACTTATATGCTCTCTTAGACCTTACAAATAGTCATACACTATGTGTAGTAATTATAAAGTCGAGCTAAGTTCACAAACCATCAGAATGCAGTCAAACGTAAGTAGCCTTATGTCTTTTAATTAAATCAAGTTAATAAATAATTATTAAACTTATGTAAATTAAATAACCTTTTATAGTTACTGCAACTTGCGAGTGAGCTTTACTTGTGTAATAATTATTATTGACGGGATTGCTAGCATGTACCTTAATTTTAACTTTAAGTTTCCGATATTGATATTTCCGTGACAATAGAGCGCTTGCAACAGTGCCAAAATATAGGAAACTCAAAATTAAAATTAAGATACCATCGGCAACAGTGTTAACTATCCATTGCCTGTCATGTCGTCTCGTTCTATCGCACAGAATCACCATTTGATGAGAGCGAGAGCAAAAACGGAAATGAATAGTTAACAATGTGGCCGTGTGTACATGGTAGCAATCCCGTCAATAATAATATTATAATATTATATTAGTGACCATGAAGTTTACTTGTGTAATTTTGTTTGATGTCTATCAAAACTTTTGAAAAACGAATAGTAGCGAGCCACCACACATGTAAAACTCACTCCCCTTCGTGAATTACAACTTTAATAATAAAAAAAAAATTACGTTACTGTAGTAGGTACCTACGTGACGAAAACTAAATTATGAAGCACATGGATCGAAGCTTACATTACAGGACAGTCATGTGGTTAAAAAAAATGGACATTTTCTGGCTGAACATTGCGTAGTCATTTACTTTGTTAAAGCTAGCCTGGAATTTTTTTTATCCATCCTAAAAAAAATTTTTGATGCCGAAAAATGCAATTTTGACTGCTTACCTACTTACCCTGCAGGGACAAGTATGATGTCAGGTATCAGTCGTAATAATAAATTGTTTAGGTACCTACTGTGTATGTCCGCAGGCCGCAGATAGAGTTACACGTGAGGGACATCCGATAATAAGCTAATCTAGTCTAAGGATTACGTATTGACTGTTGCATGTTAAACATCTTTAAAAACAAAAAATCTATCAAGTGTGAGCCAGACTCGCGTACCGAGGCGAGGGTTCCGTAAACTCGTAGGTATGTATGTAAATTAGTTCGTTCATCACGAGTCTTAAAATACCGAACATTGCTTTAACGAACGGATTAATAAGTAACTTGAAACTAACTGTTGGAAAACCGTCATTATTCATCGACAATGGTAAAACAGAAAGTATGTTTTGGAAAAACACGTACTTATTATTTGAATAATCAGTGAAACATGTTCGGCGCTGGGAGAGGAAAGCGATGGCGAAGCGTCTGCGCAGCGAGGCTGCTGGCGGTGCTGCTGTGGCCAGCGCTGCTGGGCCCGGCGCTGCCGCCGCGAGTGGCCGCGCGCGACTCGTGCCTGGCTCTCGCCAACGCGTACGCAAGGAATGGTACGTTCTATTTTGTATTTTTTTACCAATTCCGTAATATAAGAAATTAGTTGAGGGACCAACATTCAGGTGCTTACGCCTTGTCCTCCATCAATCAGCCTACAGTGCAGCGTTGCCAGACGTCCTGATTTTTAAATGAAAATTAAATGTCCCGCGCGGGACATTTATAACGTGCTGAGAAAGCGTGGCCTGGGCGCGTGGTGGATGACTACTTACTCATCTATTAAAACGCATAAAACGCATTTTATTTTTACAAGTAGGCTTTTAAAGAGCAGTTTTACATACCTACCTATAATGATAATTCTTTCAAACCAAATAAAAAAAAATTTAATGAGAAAATAAGTAAAATCTTCTTGGCTAATTCTAGGAATACTTTACTACTGGCTGCTATTACCACAGAATACATAAGCAGTATTACCTACTGCTAGAAGTTACCCAAAGATAAAATAAAAACTGGCCAAGTGCGAGTCGGTTTCGCGCACGAAGAGTTCTGTACGACGGTTTTGTTATTCTTTGGGAACCTCACTGAAATAATTATTTTATTTAATTTAATTATAACTTTGAACTCAATATACAGGGTGACTTTGCAAACATTGTCTAACTTAGAATCAGTAACTTAATCGATTTACGTAAAGATTACAATTTATTTTTTCATATTTACTTATTAATTTTTTACCTAAGGGCTACCTTTTCTTTTTTTATTATTTTCTATTGACGTTCATAAGTGCCACATGTGGTCTAAACTGAATAAATATTTTTGATTTTGATTTTTGATTTTGATTTTATCCGCTGGGCGCAGTTTCAAAATTGGCACATGTGGATAATTAACTTCGTTCATAGAAAAATACCTACACACAGTTAACTGCAAAGCTTAAATTTAAGATAGGGTGCCCATATCTTAAGTTTTAATGGGAATTCGATTTTAATAATATTCTTTTGTGAAAAATTTGGTGCCAAATAAACATTTTTTCTTTCTTTCTTTCTTTCTTTCAAAAATATCAAGATTAAAAATAATTAAGATAAAGTTGTTTTGTTACCTGCATAGCTAAATATTATGTGATTATTTCAAGGGTTTTACCTGTTGCTATTATTAATATCGAGCAAAAAACAGCAAAAAAATCACATTTGTCATATCCATACAATTAAAAAGTCCCCCTGAAATATTTATTTTATTCGGTTTTTAGTATTGTTATAGCCACAAAAGAAGTAAGTACATCATCTGTGAAAATTCCAACTGTCCAGCTATCACGGTTCATGATATACAGCCTGGTGAGGTGACAGACAAACAGCGAAGTTTAAGTAGGGTCTCGTTTCATACCCTAAAATAGTAAGTGCTTGTTCACGTAGGTACGCGCGGGCGCGGGGGCGGGTGCGGGCGCGGTAAACGTTGCGAGCTCGTGTTCACATTAACCACCAGGCGTTCGCGCGAGTGTGACGTACTATCGTCTAGCGACAAGTTCAAACTAATAACAAGCACTAATGATCCCTTAACATGCGCAGACGACGGCAGCGCGCGGCCGGAGCGCGAGGCGTCGGTGCACGGGCGCGCGCGCACGCTGCGGGTGGCCGGCGACCGGCGCGCGCCCGCCCGCGCCGCCGCCGCGCTGCTGGCCGCCGGCCTGCGCCACCGCCTGCGCTACCGCCGCGTGCAGCTCCACCTCCACGACGCCTACTCGAGCCTGTGCTCCTTCGCCAAGCTTATGCAGACTCATTGTCAGAACATAGACGTCTCGGACGATTTTTATAACTAGTGAGTTTATGAGTTTCCTTGTTATTATCTACTGTATAAAAATAAGTCGGGTTTTCCTCCCTGACGCTATAACTCCAGAACGCACGAACCGATTTCCACGGTTTTGCATTCGTTGGAAAGGTCTCGGGCTCCGTGAGGTTTATAGCAAAGAAAATTCGGGAAAAGGGGGTAAAACGGGATCCACGCGTACGAAGTCGCGGGCGGCCGCTAGTACTTATTAAATACATTATGTAACCACTTATAAGAGAAAAAAACTATCAATCAATCACCAAGAGTAGTGATTTTGTCATTCAATACATAACACCGAATTTAGGTAATGTAGGTTTTTGCAGGGGGCAATAGATTTAATTAATCATGACGATCAAAGTGACTGACATAGCCCGCAGAATCGCTAAAATCAAGTGGCAGTGGGCGGGGCACATAGCTCGTAGAGCTAACGGCCGCTCTGGCAGGAAAGTTCTTGAGTGGCGACCATGAGCCGGAACCGTAGCGTGGGCTCTAGGGAGGTGCCTGGATGCGAGTCTTTGTGGAAATCCTTGGGGCAGGCCTGAGTCCAGCAGTGGCCGTCCTTCGACTGAAACGAAAGAACGAACGATGATGATGATGATTTATTGACCTATCCCTTTCTCTCGTATATTATAAATGCGAAAGTTTATATGTCTGGATGTTTGTGTTACTCTTTCACGCAAAAAACTACTGAACGGATTTTGAAGAAACAGTACAGTACAGTATTATTGTTTAACCACCCAGATTAACATATAGGCTATAATTTATGTCGATCTGTGACAAACTAAATTTCACGCGGGTGAAGCCGCGGACAAAAGCTAGTAAATTATCATTTTTAAAAATAGCACAAATTGAAAACAATTGTACGTGTTTTTACTGCAATAATGGATCAACGGCGGCTACTGAAACTCGACTCACATACTAGTCAACAATCTCGAGAAAGGAGCTCCCAAGCTCAACCGAAACTTGGTAGGGCGCAACATGGATATTCGACATCAGCTTCGTTTTGCCCATGTTCATCCTACCTTTTGGAAAACTCGATTAGGTCTTCGAGCATTGTGCCGAGGTCTTCCAGCGAATCTGCCATGATCACAAATCATCAGCAAACCGAAGGTGTGTGATCGTGAGCCGGTTTTTTATCATTGTCGGTAGTGGGAGCCGTTTTACTTTCAGGGATTCTTAGCAACCCCTACCCTGACCGGGTTGCGGTAACGTAGCCAGGCACAGGGGAAAGTGAGGCGTCCGTAAAAGAATTAATATTACTTAAGTCGCTGACATAGACCGAATGATTAGCAAGCTGACTTGGCAAATCATTGGGTGAGGCCTATGTTCAGCAGCGGACGTCCTCAACGTCCTGTCACCTGTGGCTGAAATGATGATGATGACAAACTTTATCTGGTAATGACATCGTTGAAGTTCGTTTCAGCCTGGTGCTATCCCCCGCCGTAGCGTGGAGCGGCAGGCGGTGCTTGAGCCTGGTGTGGTGCCGGGGCAGCACGGAGGTGGCGCCGCGGCTGGCGGCGGCGGGGCGCGGCGCGGCGCCGGCCCGGCTGCTGCTGCACGTGCACCTCACCGCGCGAGCGAGCGCGCGCCGCTGCGAGAACGCTGTGTTCTGGGAGTTCTACGCCGATCACTCTAATTTTCTCGAATGCGAGTTTGTCCGAGGCAACAAGTATAATATAATAATCTACATCACTAATAGAAAATTACGTAACTACCTCCAGAATAAAAAAAAACAATAATTCCCTAATTTCAGGTCACTCAGGGTCACTGTATACACTTCAAATGGAACGCTGGAATGGAAGAAAATAAACGAGATATACCGTGACATCGTTGCCACAAAGCTGCAATTGAATGTAATCATACTTGGTGAAGACGCGGATCTACGAAGCGAGTTATTCCAATTACTTAAGAAACGAAACTCATCATTTCTATTCATAGATTACGACCTGTGGAATAATATGACAGGAGTATACAAAGTACAGCCACCACCTTTTAATACTTCGATAACGCATGATTCCACACGGACAATACGTGTCGCCGACGATCGCGTGCTGCGACAATTCGCACCTCAAGTTATGCAAGGATTGCAAGTTTTCTCGCCCACTGCCATAGATTTACGAGAAATTCTCGAAATCGAAGCCACCACACCGCAAGTTGGAATAGAAGAAGCGGCATGCTCCTGGGCGAGTAAAAATAAAGCAAAGTTTGATTCTTGGTTTCAAATCGATTATAAATCTCAACACACCATCGCTATATTTCTTTGCGAAAACGACCCAGATCAAGAAGAGTACAAGAGAGCGGCATGGGCGATACAAAACATCCACAGTACTGATTCACAGCTAAATATAGGACTTAATTTTGTGAAGATCGACTGTGGAAGTGCATCTCATCTGAGTAACGAATTTATGAAGATATCCATGTCGGCCGGGTGGCAGCGGCTGATCGGCGCTGTGGTGGCGGGCGCGGGCGAGGGCGCGCGCGCGGCGGCGGCGCTGGCGCCGGGCGCGGAGACGGCGCTGCTGCTGGGCGCGCTGCCGGCGGCGCGCGTGCGCCTGGGAGCGGCCGCGCGCGCCTCCAGTGGCACCCTGCATCAACTCGCTATTGCTATACAGCATTTTCTCGACATGTACCAATGGAATCGCCTCGCCGTACTGTCTGATGATACCGAAGTCGCAAAAGATCTCGTTGAATCTTTGAGCGACAAAGGCCGACTTAAGGTCCACAACGTCTTTGTGAGCGGCAACATATCGGATATTTTGGAGTCACTTCGAAATCTAAATTCACGTATCTTCTTTATAAATACTGGTCCAGATGCGGTTCAAGATATTTTCTGTGCTGCGAATAGATTGAGCATGACGGACCCCTTAAAATATGTGTGGATACTGCGGGAAAGGCGCGCAGTTGATCTGAATTGCGGAAAAGATTTTCCCCAGAAACACACCCACTTTACAATTTCATATTGGTGGCGAGGGGGCAATAATACGCAATCTTTATCAGTTACAGCAAATGAGCAAAATAAAACGAAAAACATTCTACGCAGTACCTTGGATCATCTGTGGCACGGAAACACATGGCCTCCACTGGCCGCACCATTGGTTGATTCTTTAGAAGTACTCATAAAGAGTTTCAAAACATTTACTCAATCTCATCCAGACAAATATTATGATTTGCACGGCGATGGGTCTGCTGGGTGCGTATTTTATAATTTTACTTCTTATGACTAAATCTGACCTGCCTTAAATAGACACTGCGATTATATTTATTTTTGGTTTTATATTTTACTTATAATACGTTTTTCTTGCAGATTACTTTTAAACAGCCTCGAACATCAACAAACAGATGGAGTAATGCAAAATTTACACTTTGTGAACGGTACACTATCTGAGCCGCTCGTTTTTGTGGACAAGTGGGTTGGTAACCGACGAGAGCCTATCTTCATATGGCGCATCCAAGATGGTCACGTGGAGCCCATCACTAATGCTACTTATGGTGTTCAATATCCCTCCGATGGAACTGAATTTTGTTTAACTAACCCTCATAATGACTCATTCGTTCCATCTTGCCACGATTCCATATATTTATCCGCATTAGGATTCCTAATTGTAGCCACTCTTGCATTATGTTTGTCGCGAAGATTAAGACTAAAGCGTCTGGCGAAAAAAGACTCTCTTCTTAGGGCGCAGCTGCTGGCGCAAAGAGAATGTATGTCGAGCGAGCTCGCCGACCACTACGTCGATCGCGCCGCCCTAGAGTTATATGACTATCTTGGACAAGGGTGCTATGGGCGTGTGCGATATGCAATCTTTCGAGCACCTGAGCGTCAACCAATCTCCGTGGCCGTCAAGGAGCTGCGCGACGACGTTCCACTGACAGAGGAGAGCGAACTGTTGCGGGAGGCGTGCACGCTGGCGACGCTCTGCCATGACCACATAGTGCGGCTTATCGGCGTGTGTGCTACGGATGGACCGCTTCTTGTGCTGTTAGAATACGCATTCTTCGGTAATCTCTGCGAGTATCTGTGCGAGAGGCGCCACCTCGCCGAACGTGCCATGATTACAGACGTCGATGAAAATGACGAAGCATATCACGTGTCCGCTCCATCCCTGAACAGGATGGCTAGAGAGATCGCCTCTGCGCTCGCGTACCTCGCACTCAAGAAGATCGTGCACCGCGACGTTCGGGCGAGCAACTGCCTCGTAGACGCTCGTCGTTCATTGAAATTGGCCGATTTTGGGTTGGCTAGGAAGACCGGGACGGGCGTCACTGGCGAGGAGGAGTACTCGTGCCGACGAAGAGGAATGTTCCCGGTGCTCTGGATGGCGCCGGAGAGCTTCGACCGCGGCGTGTTCTCGGCGGCGTCGGACGCGTGGGCGCTGGGCGTGCTGCTGCTGGAGCTGGTGTCGCTGGGCGCGCGGCCCTACGGCGCCTGGCCGCCGGGCCGCGTGCTGCAGTACGTCAGCGCCGGCGGCCGCCCGCCTCTCCCGCCGGACGTGTCCGAAACCACGTAAGTTTTCTACATTATATCTATACTAGCTTTCCGCCCGCGGCATCGCCCGCGTGGAATTTTGTCTGTCACAGAAAAACTTTATCGCGCGCGTCCCTGTTTCAAAAACCGGGATAAAAACTATCCTATGTTCTTTCCCGGGACTCAAACTATCTCTATGCCAAATTTCATCAAAATCGGTTCAGTGGTTTAAGCGTGAAAGCTACACAGACAGAGTAACTTTTGCATTTATAATGACACTAGCTTTCCGCCCGCGGCTTCGCCCGCGTGGAATTTTGTCTGTCACAGAAAAACTTTATCGCGCGCGTCCCTGTTTCAAAAACCGGGATAAAAACTATCCTATGTTCTTTCCCGGGACTCAAACTATCTCTATGCCAAATTTCATCAAAATCGGTTGCGAGGTTTAAGCGGGAAAGCGTAACAGACAGACAGACAGACAGACAGACAGACAGAGTTACTTTCGCATTTATAATATTAGTTGGGATTGGATTGGATAGATGAGATTTTCTCTAAGATCAACAAAGAGAACCACAAAGAACCAAGGCCACAGATTACCTAATATTAATACTTAGTTACTGTCAAGGCTGCTTTATTTATAATGCAGTATAGCACAGTAACAAGACATGACTAAAGACGAGACCTTTACCAAATATAGACATTATTTATCAGGAGAAACAAAAAATAACATTTCCATCACTATGAAAGACAACTTGTTAAGTAATTTGGCTATTGAGATGACAAAAGCCCAACCACAAATTAGGACTGGAATCGATCCGAGGACTCATGGTCTGAACCGCTTCGCCGCTGAACTATTGAATTTATACATGAAATAAAAAGATACAGACGACAGCACATCAGACTAATATTTTTTCTAGCAGCTTCTATTACACATAAGACACCACAATACCTTTACGTACTCGTCTGAGGGCGTATTGTGAGTTTACATCAAACGCATTCGATGTCGACTGCGTTTAAAAAATGAAAGTAATAAAAAGCTTGTAATATAGGAAGATTTTAGTTCTTAAAGTTTCCACCAAGGGCGCTGTACATTACTGTACAATCCGTCATACATTTAATGTCAGTTTTTTACGCAGTGACCAGTGAAGACGTTTGATGTAAACTCACACTAAGCCCCTTGCCTAGGGTTGCCAGGCGTCCGGCTTTAGCCGGACATGTTTGGCTTTTTAGGGACTTGTCCGGCCAAATATTGCCTTGTCCGGCCTGTCCGGGTTTTGTTAAGCTTTTTATTTGGTTGCCGCGCCAGGCGAAAGTCGAGCCACAGAATCATATGAAGCGCACGCATCAGGATGTTGGTTAGCAACCGATGATGATAGTACTCACTCATGAGCTGACACTAATTGCCCTTTTAGGGTAAAATGTCCGGCCAAATCAAGCACAAAGTCCGGCTTTTGTGATTTTGGACCCTACCCTTGCCCCCCGTACATTTCATCATGTCAGTGATTTGTGGTGCAGACGGCAGCTGCTGGTGAAGCTGTGGCGGCGCGCGCCGGAGCTGCGGCTGTCGGCGGCGGCGCTGCTGGCGCGCCTGGAGGCCGACGCGGCGGCGCTGGCGCCCGCGCTGGCGCCCGCGCCGCCGCCCGCCGACGAGCTCTGCCCGGCGCTCGGCGACGACGACGAAGCCACGGTATTACTATCTATACAGTATTCCAACTCGGCCATATTTTTGAAATAAATGTCAACAGCCGCGCGGTACGTCACCATATGACAACATGCGATAGGGCTGCCCACCTGCAGACAATATTTTCATTACATCTGCCTACTTAGAATTTTTATCTAGTTTTGTGAATGTATTTTGTGATTGTAATTTTTTATTTTATTTTGACAAACAAAATAACTTACTGAATGAAATAGGATAAAACGCGTGTTGTTTTGTGATTAGTAGATTTAATTAAAAATTATATTTGTGTTAAGATTTAGTAATAAATCTTATAAATTTGCGACCGTAAAATGTATGCCCCAACGGCCATCGTCTCTACGAGCTATGTGCCCCGCCCACTGCCACTTGATTTTAGCAATTCTGCGAGCTATGTCGATTACTTTGGTTCTCCTGCGGATCTCCTCATTTCTGATTCGATCACGCAGGGCCGTTGGGGCAGGAAAGTTCTCGAGTGGCGACCACGGGCTGGAAGACGTAGCGTGGGCAGGCCTCCTACTAGGTGGACCGACGATCTGGTGAAGGTCGCGGGAAGAGCCTGGATGCGGGCAGCGCAAGACCGTTCATTGTGGAAAACCTTGGGGGAGGCCTTTGTCCAGCAGTGGACGTCATTTGGCTGAAAACGAAAAATGTATGCGCCTCGACTGAGGCGTACAAAATTCTTGATTATTATACAGGGTGTTAGGTAAATGGGTTTATAAGCCGATACTAGCCCATGTTAACATGTGCATATAAATGGTATACTTAGTGAAGTCAGAAAATTGAAATCATCATTTTAAATTTTAATTTGCATACAAATCTGATTTTATAAATTTTATTTTGTATGAAAATTAAACAAATTAAAATGATATCACTGACTTCACCATACCATTTAATGCATAATATGTTAACATGGGCTAGTGTTAGCTTATAAACCTATTTACCTAACACCCTGTATAAATAGGTAGTTGTAATTATTTTTATAAAAAAGAGCGCATACTGTTTCAAAAACAACACATCATCCGTTTATTACCGTGGCACATTCGCGACAACCCCGACTTTTGCATGTCGAGCGCATACCAAAATTTGAATTTCGAAGGAAAGTTCGCGTTTCGTCCATTTATATCACAGATATGGATTAGAGTAGATACAGCAAGTTGATCGTCAAAGCGTGCCATTCCGATATGTCCAAATGGACATACATGGTCGAGTGATGTTCACGTTGTTAATTGTAATCCGATTACAACAATCGGTTTCGATGATTTTACGAGGACAGTAGGTAGTACGAACACGGTAGAAAGAAGCAATTATTAACGGATTGAGAATTGTAATTAACAGCACAAGTAACAAATAATTAAATTAGAATAAAGTAGCAGTAGAAGAAGTATAAAGTAGCATTGTTTTTAATACAGGAAATAATATAGAAATAATGATAAAATCACAAAACTTTAATTGATGTTAAAATTTTGTGATTTTATCATTATTTCTATATTATTTCCTACACTAGCCCATGTTAACATGGTCATATAAATGGTATGGCGAAGTCAGAAAATTGATATCTTCATTTTAATTATTTTAATTTTCATACAAATCGGATTTTATAAAATTTATTTTGTATGAAAATTAAAATTATCGGCTCATATACCCATTTACCTAACACCCTGTATAGAGTTTATTTTAATCACACAGTTAGACTAGCTATAAATAGCAAAATATCAGTTTTATCGGAATTAATTAATTGTCTAATCGAGTCACACGATACATTTCGATGACTTTGCGAATGCAGTACGATGATACGATTATTTTTACATTGCGGCAATCACTAAAATTCGCTAAAATGACACTAATGACGTTTAAAAAGTGGCACGCTCGGCTTCATACAATATTTGACACATGCTGCATCTATCCATATCTGTGATTTATATGAAGTTACAATACTGTATGATAGTATTACCGCGACGAAGCCACGCCTGTGTGCTTAGTGCGAGTTTACACCAAGTCATCGCTAACGACTGCGTAAAAAATGTCATGAAATGTATGATTATACATCTTCCCTAGCGGATACCTTCAAGAACTAAAAACTCGCTAGCGACGGCGTTCAATGTAAACGGGCACTAAGCCCATTGGTTGAACCCCACGAGTAAAAAACCGAGAAGAGAGACAAAGCTTCAATATAACCGCGCCGTAGTAGGCAAACTACCTATAGATATGTAAAGCATGCGTATGTTTTATTTATTTTTGCTTCTGCATAATTTATTACGAAATTATGTTAAGTGAATTAATGTAAATAGTTAAGAATGTAAATAATTAGTACTAAAATTGAAAAATTGTTGTTTATTAAGTATAATTATCAATACTTAATACTAGCATTTGCCCACGGTTTCACCCGCGTGAAATTTTGATTGTCATAATATCTTTATAAATTGTAATAATAATATATTATTCTGATGTACTGAGGCAGATACACTCTGCCTAGGCTACAAGACATACCTACCTGTTATTTAGTTTTTCTGAGTTTTTCTGAGGCAAACTACCTATAGATATGTAAAGCATGCGTATGTTTTATTTCGACACCTTCAGGTTCAATTGTCGTATAAACCATTTTGGCCAAATTGAGTTATATATNTATGTTTTATTTATTTTTGCTTCTGCATAATTTATTACGAAATTATGTTAAGTGAATTAATGTAAATAGTTAAGAATGTAAATAATTAGTACTAAAATTGAAAAATTGTTGTTTGTTAAGTATAATTATCAATACTTAATACTAGCATTTGCCCACGGTTTCACCCGCGTGAAATTTTGATTGTCATAATATCTTTATAAATTGTAATAATAATATGTTATTCTGATGTACTGAGGCAGATACACTCTGCCTAGGCTACAAGACATACCTACCTGTTATTTAGTTTTTCTGAGTTAAACCTACGTACCTACCTATCTATTCGCCGTTCCCATGGGTGGGCCAGCTGCTGCAGGAAAGGACAGCTGCTCATTTCGTTTAGAGAAGCCAGACCTTCGCATTTATATGTATAGTTGTTGCAATCCACGAAGGCAAGTGAACTTTTTACATGTGTTATGGTTCGCTACTGTTCGTTTTATTAGTAGGATTTTAGTTAGGTATCCCAAGGACTAAGTCATGTTTTTGGCCAAAATATCTGCGGTTTTTGAAGTTTTTACATTTTTATATTGTTTATTAAGACAATTTAAACAATATTAAAGTGTAAATGCGTCGAACATTTTGGAAATATCATCTAAAACAGAATTCAATTTGACAGTTGTAATCCGGATTTGGACAAGAATTGAATATAGGAATCGGGCGTTAAACAAGGAGTGCAGGTGCGGTTTTGTACCCCAGTCGATGAAGCACCTGATGTCATGCCCTGAGTGTCCAAGCAACTGCACTTAGGAGGATTCGATGAGTGCTACTGACAACGCCACTCTTGTGGGCTGTGGCGGAGTTTTGGGCTGACACTGTGTAGGTTTGTTGTCGACACGAAAAGAAGAAGATGAAGTAAAAAATGGTAAATATTTGCATTTCAAAAACTAATTTTATCTCATTTTAAAATTTTGTCTCTGTTCGGATTCTTTACTCATGTAAGTAACATCCCGCCTGGACTTCCTGACTCCTAACCAACCAGGCATATTGTGCAGTGCTGGATCTCCAGCGAGGATACTAAATTGAAGTTCATACTCCAAAACTCCAAACCTTCCACTGTACCTACACATGCAAAATCTTTTGCGTTTGGCACATACGAGTACCAATACCTAATAAGTACAAAGTTTTATTATTTATAATCAATATGGCAATAGCAGACCTAGGACGTAGATAAATCTTCAAAACATAAAGATCATCACAACCAAGTCAAATGAACCACAGGAAAACCTCATAAACATTGAAAGACCTCCCAGATGGAGACTGGAGCTTCACCACCAAATGGCAACATTCATGTTGTCTCAACAACTACAAATTGAAGTTCACACACCACANCTTAAAAAGTGCTTATAAGCACTTTTTAAGGTTCCGTATCCAAAGGGTTAATAAAACGGGACCCTATAACTAAGACTTCGCTGTCTGTCTGTCACCAGGCTGTATCTCTTGAACCGTGATAGCTAGACAGTTGAAATGTTCACAGATAAGTACTTTTGTTGCCGCTATAACAACACGTTACTAACACTCCGTCTCGTCGGGGGTTAAAAATAAAATAATGTTGCGCTTTTAATGCAGAACATAATTATTATTACAATGTATTCGTATTATGAATAAACTGTTTACGTAAAATTTTGTTTTATTTTCCTCATGAAATGAGTGAGATTAAATCGAACACCCAATTTTATTAAAGTTTACTCATAGATTAGCGTTCGGTTCGGTTCGGTTACAAAATGAGAAACAGGAAAATGTTCTAGTAAACAAACGATAACACATTGCACGTTTAAGGGTTCCGTACCCAAAAGGTAAAAACGAGCTTCCTCGTTGTGGATAAAAAAAACAGGACCCTATTACTATGATGAACCGTGCGATAGCTTAAATTTAAAGAAGAGTTTAAGTTTTCGCAGATGATGTACATACTTCTGTTTCCGCTATAACAACAATACAAAAATAGAATAATGCCCCGCGGCTGATAGTGTAGTTGCGCATCCGTTCCGTGCAATTTTTAATTTTTTTTATTCTTATTGTTTAAACAGGGTTCTCTAAACTACGGCCCCACTGCATTCAACCCGGCCCGCGACAGCTTAAAAATAAGCTTGTTAGTTAGCATAGGTGGGCAGAAAAAATAAAATTGTTATGGCCCTTGCAACATACCGAAAAAATATAATGGCTTCAAAATTTGGAGACCCTGGTTTAGAACATCAGCCTCGGAACGGATATAGGTAACTAACGGATTGCCTGCTGAAAATCCATGCCGGGACATCCTAACAAGGTGTCCCGATTATAAATACTGTTCACTGTTAAGTTTTCACTTGTAAATTCTTTAAATGTCTGCTCTTATAACAGCGTTGGTCTATTTGCATCTTGATTTCCATTTGCGATAACCTATAAATGGCTAAGCAGATACATAATTTTAGGTCTCATTATTTGTATTTGTGTTGCTGTTGGTTTTCCTAATAAAATAAAGTAAATAAATAAAACTGAGCGGGCGCCTGCATTGTGCACTGCGGTTTATCTCAATGAAATACCATTTTATTTGTCATAATGATCGAATTATTCAATAACTAGCTTTTGCCCGCGGCTTCACCCGCGTGAAATTTAGTTTGTCACAGATCGTCATAAATTATAGCCTATATGTTATTCTGGGTTATAACTTATAGATGAAAGTCTGAAATAAATTATTTATTATTATTATTTATTATTATAAACAATAATACTTCAAATTTTCATAAAATCCGTTCAGTAATTTTTGCGTGAAAGAGTAACAAACATCCAAACTTTCGCATTTATAATATTAGTTGGAAGTAGGATCTCAGCACGTTGAGATCAACAAGCAAATTTATACAAAATCAGATATAAATTGTGAGTAACTTTTACTTTCTGTAGTTTTTATTGAATTATTAAAGCATGTCTCGCTTTGGAGGGGCGTCCTCGCTTGCGTTTTTGGCCAATAGGTAAATTTTAGGCCTCTGCAGGCGGTGTTAAATTACATATATTACTTGAATCGCAAGCCCTATAACATGCTTGCATTAATTTAAAATACTATTAGTTTAAAAAAAAATGGGGACAGGTAGCTATGGATAGTTTTTGTATTATTATTCCATTTTCTTCCCTGAACTTTGAATTTTTGACGAATTTCGATATCTAACACGTAGTAGACGTGTGATATTACTTATCATTGGAAAAAAGAGAAGCTAGGAATATTATAAAGATTTTTTTTAAATTTATTATTTAAATACAATATTTTAAGGGGGCTCCCTTACAATAGAAAATGAATTCATACCTAGTTACGTTGCTATACCTACATAATAAACTGGTAGTCAACGCAATTAAAAGATATACTTTTACCGCATACCTTCCGTCCGACGTTCGCAAGGAAATCTTTAATACCGTTAGCCGTTTGTTCGTTATCGTTCGTCGTAATTAGAGCAATGTTTCGTAATAATTCAAATTATTCGAGACTCGATTCGTGTTATTCTAATTAATATTGTGATGAATGAACTACCGTCATTTTTATGTTTGTAGACTATGCTGTTTCCTTCACCATAAGGGGATCTTACCTACCACAAAACAGTGGTCTTACTAATCCATTAGCGGAATGGGGACATTCCGTTATGGACGGCCATCAGTTAGCAACGAAAGGATTAACGCTGGCTATCAAAAGGAGTGCGGGAGTCGTGCGGGATAACAAAAATATATAAATGTGTGGAAGTAGGTACATAAATAATAAAAAATATTCCTATGGGGCATTCGAACGTGGGCCGCGAGATAGCCGAGAGCTTCCTACAGTATCGTGTGTTGTGTACCTATGATTGATTGTTTGATTTGACAAATTATGGTATTGGTGAATAAGTTGGTTTCAGCCTATTTGTATTTATTACCCATACTTATTGTGAGTATGTAATGAGTATGTGTGTGAATCCAACATAAGGTCTTGGCATGGCAGACAGGTAATGAGGGCTATCGTTTTAGCGCTCACCAGTTAGCGCCACTGTAGAGTAAGGTCCTGTCACTTGCTAGTAGCGAAGACAGTGGCACCAACTGGTGAGCGCGAAAGTGGTAGTAGGACTATCGCATTTGCACTCATCAAGATGGCGTCACTGTAGAGTAAGGTCCTGTCAATCGCCAGGGGTGCCAACTGTTAAGTATAAAAACGATAGCCCTCATTGAAAATCAGCAGGTAGGTAGGTACCTGCTGATTTTCAAGTGAAGCAGGTGCTTCACTTCGGGAACTATGTAGTGTAGTAAGTATTTTATTCTGTGGTAGAGGCATAAAATAAAAACTAGGACTTTGATGCTCTACTCACTACTAGTATGCTGTGGCATGATTTACACTTCATTCAAGCAAAAAAAAGTCCCTTAAATTATTACTTATTCACCCACCTACAAGGTGGACCGACGACCTCATAAAGGTAGCAGGAAGGCGCTGGATGCAGACTACCAACCGGCCTTTGTGGAAATTATTGGGGGAGGCCTATGTTCAGCAGTGGGCGTCCTATGGCTGAAATGATGATGATGATGAATTACTTATTACATGAGCGATAAGCCGATAAAAGGAATGAGAATCTTTTCTAAAAACTGTCGTTCGCGATAATGCCATTCTAGCGCTTTATGTCTTTTGAGCTCGTGTCTTTCGCGCAAACTTCCATTCACGCTAAGTAGGTAGGTATGTAGGTACCTAATGTCTTTTCGCGCAAGATTCCGTGCGCGCAAAATTAAATGGCTTTTCGCGTTTATGGATTTCCGCAAGTGTCTTTCGCGCGGGTGTACCAGAACCGAACTACCTGCCAATAAATTAAAAGTCCTTGAAATGAAGATAAAAATAAAAAAGAGTAATGGACATAGTTATTGTATCAAAGGCATTATAACAATACTAATTAATTATTGAATGAAGAAAACATCGGCAACATCGTACCTACTTACCCTATTTCAGCAAATTAGCACTAGAAACCAAAGAAAGCGACATCTACACTGTCGACCACTTAACGCTAACCCGATGCTGTGAGCACTCAGACTCAGGGGCTGTGAATTTTATTCGTACTTATTTGTCTAGATGTCGCTTTCAGTCTGCAATCCTGAATGTTTGTAAAGTTGTGTATGATTTGATTTTATGAACTCGCCTTATTCGCTACTGACTGATTGTTGTTTTTTTCTATGTTACTGTAGTAATAAATTAGGTACCTACCTAACAATGATTAAAATAAAAGAGAAAATACGGTACGAGCTCGCATTGCAAACCTACAACGTGTCGCCTTATTCACTACTGACTGATTGTTGTTTTTTCTATGTTACTGTAGTAATAAATTAGGTACCTACCTAACAATGATTAAAATAAAAAGAGAAAATACGGTAGGTACGAGCTCGCATTGCAAACCTACAACGTGTAGGTAGGTATTTAGTCAAAACGTGGTCAAAACTAAGCCCTTCTGATAATTAATCGATTCATCCACACACGTATTTCATTTTTAAGCGGCTCATTCACGAGACGATTTCAATAAAGGGGCCCATGGAAAAATGTACCTATGTAAGAAGATCACGGAACTTAAATTAATTGTTATCAATAAAATAAAATCAATCTAGTCACAGGTAGGTTAACACAAAATCAGTTGGCTAATTATATTAAATACCTAAGAAGTAGGTTTTATGTAGGTATTTGACAAATATATTTTTAGATAATGGTAGTAGGTAGGTATAATCTGGTATAATTATAAAATTTGTACCTACCTGATGCTGATACAACGACGCGGTTTCTCTCCCGATGGAACTTCATGAACTCCACACTTCTACACCATACTATTCCTATTAAGGTTGCACTTCACCATATAATTCCTCTATGCACTTCACTGAAGGTCTTTAGTCAATAATATAGGTTCACCGGGTTCACCACCTGGGTTCACAAATTAAAAGGCAAAAAGCTCCAAGTCTCCAACACACAAGTCCTCAATAAAACCAAACAACACCTTGCACCGATTCCGAATTTATGCTCAAAGAAGGACACTTACGACAAGGCCTCATGAGCTACCCGCATTCCCGATTTAATTCGAGTGGAACCACGGTGACACCATGATGGTGGAACTGGTGGCTAAAACCAGGGTTGCCAGATATCAGCTAACTCAATTCGCCTAATTTTTCCTACCGAGTAGCCTAAATCGCCTAATATTTTTTTTTCCTGAAGTAGCCTAATTCGCCTAACATTTTGAGGTAAGTATACAAAAATACATATCAAATCGACACATTAATGACAAACAGCTGTTTATCTCTTTCTAACTTACCCATGGTGACGTATGAAAAAAGAGATAGATAATGTTTGGTTAGCCTACTCAACTACTCTGGCAACATTTTTGTGACGTCACTAACTACCTGACTTGTGCCGAGTACATACAATTGTATTTAAGAAATCAACATGGCCGCAATATAGGCAATCAGCTGACAACTACACAACACACGCACACGCACACACACACACGCACACACACACACACACACACACACACACACACACACACACACACACACACACACACACACACAAAACCTGTCATTTCCTATATTGCGGCCATGTTGTTTTCTTAAATCGTGTATTTATATTGTGTGTAAGTGTGTACGTAATGTTATGTGTTAGCGGCAATTTGTATTATTTAGGGATTCTATACAATCCCAATTGTGTAACATCAATGCCTAGGGCGCGAAGGCAATGTATAAAATATTATTGTTCAATAAATACTTTACCTAGGCAGGTGTATGTAATTCCTAGGCATTGTATATGTAGAATACGTCCAGCTGGCCCACCGGTAATGTGTAAAGTAAACAGATTTTGATCATTATTATTTATGTACGGTTAGGGTGTAGCAAAGGGGGTGCAGGACTTAGCAAAATAACCGAATTTTCGAACGTAATTTGTATGGAGCTGACACTTAGAAAAAAAATTACGGATTTAGTATAGAGTTTGGACTTTCATGGAGTAGTAAAGGGGGTAGGGGTCATTTTAAAAAACTAACTGAATTACAGAATACTAGGTTAGGATTTATTTTTCCAAGGTAATCCTGAAGTAGCCTAAATAGCCCGATCTTATTTTCTAGGTAGCCTAAATGGCTACCGGTAGCCGTTTGCATTTTTTGGTCGCCATTTGACCCCCAGAGGTAGCCTAAATGGCGATAATTCGCCTAATCTGGCACCACTGGCTAAAACTAAAAAAATAACCTATAAAATGTTGCTTTTTTTATTGACCACAGATTAATAATTTTATATTTCAAAAATCAAATGAACACACCACAGATTATTCATTAATCAGAATTCAGAATCGTTGGTCTTTAACCCTTAATCAAATGAAGAAATTTTTTTAGAGATAAATACAAACTGAGATCCGTTCTTGGGTAAACTTTGTGCGTAAATTTCAAATTCGATATCAAAATCCTGGAAAAGTGGGGGGAAAAGGAGGAGCGTTTTATGATGGAAAATAATGTCCATTTATTTATAACAAAATTTTATCGAAGTGGGAAATCATTTTCCATTGTTCAGTACAGGCTATGATTTTTTCGTAAAATTGACTCCTGTTTCTATACTAGTGATCATTAAATAAAAAATGCAATACTAAAATGAAATAATGATAGTTTTTAATAATTTTAAAATTACAATATCAAATAAATGCATAATTAGCTTTTTCTATGAAAAACATAATATATATACGAAAGTTTCCTTGAGTTCTTACTTGGTTAGTATTTCTAACTTCTTTTTGTTATTTAATGGAAAATGGAATAAACAATTTAGGTTACGTAGGTAAGTGAGTAGGTACCTACCTACATATTTTATCGATGAACAGACACCCAAAAAGAAATGGAAAATAAGTCTAGTTTATTATAATATGACGTGTAGGTACTAAGTTACAAGAATTTTTTTAACAAACTTGTTAAAAAACTCACTTGAATCACCATAATATTTCACGACTTGTGACTTTGATGTGCTACGTCAGGATACAACTTTTGGATAAGTTTTGACATTTATCAGTTAAAAAATATATCAAAGAGCTTTCCGCCCGCGTGAAATGATGTCCGTCACAGAAAAACTTTATCGCGTCCGTCCCTGTTTTAAAAACCGGGATAAAAACTATCCCATGTCCTTTCCCGGGACTCAAACTATCTCTATGCCAAATTTCATCAAAATCGGTTCAGTAGTTTAAGCGTGAAAGCTACACAGACAGAGTAACTTTTGCATTTATAATGTCAGTAGGGATTGATTTCTTTGTAGTTGGTATTCGTATAGGATAGGTATTGTCATTCACATTCAGGAGAAAAAAATAAAGTCCAAATAATGTTTCCCCGTATTTAATTAAGGTTGAGTAATTTGTGCTTGTGGTAATGCCATTTAGATAGAAACCCCACACCGAGCTGTTCCTTCCTTCTTTATTCTGCTGTTTCTTTGAATATTAGTAATTTGGGTAACAAAAATTACGAATAGTCCCGTTAATCCCTCGTGGTAAGCTAAATGCTTGTGTTACAAGTGGGTTTACTATAATAGTTTAGCAGCACGGTGGGGTTCAAACCCGCGTTCCTCGATCTCAACTGACACCGAGACCATTACAGAGCATTCTACAAAACTACACAGCTGTACCTAGGTCGTGGCGGCCGGAATGTTTACTCTTCAACCAGCGGCCAGCGAAACAATCAACTTTAGCGATTTTAATTCAATTATTAGCTTCGTTTGGCAGGGGCAAACCGGGGGGCAGGAGCGGGGGGCATTACCGACAATCAGCGGGTGTTTGTTCGCGAGCGCCATCGCGTGAACAATCAAACGCTACGCTTTATCATTTCAGTTTGCGGTTCGTCGTTTAATTTAATATACCTAGGTAGATACATACTCATAATTTACCTACTTTGATGTTTGACTTGTTTGAACTATAATTGTTTGTTTTTTAATAATCATTCTATAAACTCTCGGTCGTAGTACTCGTCATTTATTTTGTAGACCTTTCTTAAATAAATCCTAACTTTTGATAATAGTATTCCTTCATTGCGCGCGGTCGTCGAGGTCTAGCTAGAGGTTAATAAGTATACATAAGTAAGACAGTAGCGCCAACTGGTGATAGCCGGAGCAAAACCATAGGAAGACTATTGCATTTCGACATTAATTTTCGACTCACCGGGACGGCGCCACTGCTTAAAGAGAGTTTAACGAATTTTATAATCTTTGTAGTAAAAATATGCCACAGATTAGTCTTACTAATAAGTTCCAAGAGCGCAAGGCCGCAAAAATATAATAGATTTGGACTTGCATTTAATGGATTAGAAAGAATACAATTTGATAAATAAACCTTTATTTATAAAGTACAAGTTTAGATAAGTTTTTTTAAGCATGTTGTATAAATTATTTTTATCAATTCTTGATTCGATAAAATTTAATAATCTTCAACTTAAGTAAACATTAAAAATGTCAATTACCTACTTTTGTAATGGTTTGAAATGAAACGAAACCTTTAGCCCACATTTCCAGCTACCTATTTCCGTTTTTTTCTCTCGCTCTCATCAAACGGTATTCTTTGCGATAGAACAAGACAACATGACCGGAAATGGGTACCTAGCTAAAACTGTGGGCCATTCACCTACAAAGAAAGAAAGAAAGACTTTTAACTTTGTTACTTACACTTGCTTAGAATTTATTTTAATTATTTAATTGAAGCAAGACACACAGATACAAAATGCAATGTTTTTAATATATTTTAACTAAACCTTCCTAGATTTTTGTTAAGATTGAAGCAAGGATCACTCAATCCACATGCACATCTAGATAGGTAGGTACCTACCTATTTACGTCTTTCTTCATTCAAATCTGTTATAAGTAATGAATGAATAAAATTATTCTTAGCAATTGGCATTCCTTATTCAGACATCAAACTAACATATGAAATATCGAGAGCTTATTATATTAGCACAAAATAATATACGCTTCTGCGTTTAGAAATTGTATACTCTTGAGGTAATGATAGGACACGCGCGCGCGGCGGCGGCAGCGGCGGCGGCGGCGGCGGCGGCGCGGAGCTAGTACACCTCGACGCTCTCCTGGTGGTGGACGGTGTCCTGGCGGAACATCTCCACGTCGGCCTGGCTGTCGGCGTGGATGATCTTGGCGCGCCCCTCCTGGTAATCATGATACGCATATAAGCATTTTATACGAACTCGAAGCGCTGGTAGGGCCCAAAAGATAAGGAGACATGTAAAGTGCCCCATTAGGGCTACCTTTTCTTTTTAGTGTTTGCTATATTTGACGTTCATAAGTGCCACTTATGGTCTAAACTGAATAAATATTTTTTATTTTGATTTTGAATGGTTTTTCTTTTTACTGTTGATAAAAGAGCATTTTTTTAACCAGGAACTTCTTTCTCCATGGTCAAAACATTAACGATAGTTTTTACTAACTAAGACTGGGTTGCACCATCTTACTTTAACTTTGACAAACGTCATAAATCTGTCTAACTCTATACAAAAAGCACCGCGGCACCGGTTATTGTTATAGTTACGGTCAAAGTAAGGTGGTGCAACTCAGCCTAACTCTCTTTCCGCTAAATATTACCGTTTAAATAAAATTTAAAACTGATTCCGATCAATAGACTAAAATATTGGCACGCACCTTATCACACGGAAGACTCGTAGACGCAGCGAAAACCCTAAAACAACTATGCTTTTCTGTACAATGAAAGCATTAAAATTAAGTTACTATATTACCAGGATAATCAACTTATCTAACTGTGCAAGCACTTATCTGGTAACTAAACGGCCTTTTGGTGTAGTGATTCGGAACGGACTACTTGCTACTACGCCGAGAGGTCCCGGCCGGGTTCGATTCCCGGCCGGGCAGAAATTGAAATGATGAATTTTAATTTCTGTGACGGGTCTGGGTGTTACTATGTATAATAATGTATGTATTTACAAAAAATAAAGTATTTAAGTAAGTATGTTATGTAGTACTTCCCTTCTATGATCTGAGTCTAGTACCCACAGTAGGTACAAGCTTTGCTTAGTTTGGGACTAGAAGCGTAGTGTAAAATGTCCAAGGATATTTTTTTTAAACAGGATTCAAAGATGACAGTTTGGTGCTAAAGTAGGTAGGTATAATATAAATGCTCAAGATTTACTGCTGCTTAAATACCACGAGCCCCGTTTTGCACTAACGACTGCAATGATGCCTGTGATAATGGTGCCATGAGATGTATGATTTTGTTAGACTACTAGTCAGGCGCGGATCCAGCCCTCAAAAAAGGTTGTGGGCACAGCCACCAAAAATTAGCAAAGTGAGAGTTGGCTTGGAGTTCGAACTCATGCTCGATTTTTTAAAGGCTCATCAGTCAGACGTTTTTATTATCATCCTATCGATCTTTCAATAGATCATAATTAAAACAAGCAAATTAGGGTTGTGGGCATGCCCACAGTGCCCACAACGGTGGATCCGCGCCTACTACTAGTTACCTATATGTACACGGAAATTCGATGCTTACGGTGCTCTGGTATACCTACAACGGCGCCGGCCACGGACCTACCTTGGGGTGCATGAGGATGAAGGGCAGCTCGGCCACCAGCTCGCCGCTCAGCGCGCCCAGGTACAGCTTCACCTTCGCGCTGTAGCTCACCACGATGCCGAACGCGTCGCGCTGGTCCGGGTCCAGCAATCTACAAACACATGCACTGTCAAACTATCACAATACCTACAGTGCAATTAAGTAGTGCAAATACCGATACTGAAAAATTCCTTGTAATTAAGTTTTGCCAACTGGTAGCCAGCTGTCATGAAACAACATCTTCTTTGAATTAAGGAATGTTGTCTGCGACAAAGCTTTAGCATGTCAATAATGCCATGAAATGAAACCAGCCTTAATGTCACTCAAAGAAGCTACATACGTGGCTCAATATTATACGAGTAAAATAATATGATGACAGTAGGTATGTGAATAACAAGGTGAATGAAATAAAACAAAACAGCAAAGGCAGCACGCACAAGGTGGTGGAGGCGAGCGTGGTGTCGGCGCGCTTGAGCTGGCCGTCCAGCGCGATGCCGCGCTTGTCGCGGTTGCTGGCCAGCGCCGGCGTCAGGTGCAGCACCTTCTGCAGGCTGGAGCCCGGCTGCAGCGGGCAGCCGTCCCTGCAACACGCTCGCCAAATTACACAACGGATACGTTTGACCAATAATATGAAAACGAGTCAACTTGTGAATAGTTCGGATCAAGCTCCCTTGGAAAATTTAAAGTAAATTAATACTAAAATAAATTATTTAATCACAATTTTGTTAAGTTTTCCAATGTCAGACGTGGGTAAATGAAACGGAAAAGAGGCAAACTGATAATAATAAGTCACATCACTTTGGCGTGTTCCAAAAGTAACCACACTTCTTAGTTGATGAAATTAATTCGATGTTGGGATTGAAGCTACTGACTGCGTTTCGACGCTGGCGACGACGTTGCGGTACTGGCCGTTCTGGAACAGCACCACGTCCACGCCCTGCTGGATGCTGGCCTTGATCTTCTTCACCACCTTGTTACTGTGGTTGCGCACGCACATGTTCACCGCCACCGTCTCCCCGTGCATGTACAGCTGGAGCGAACACGGATATAAATGATATAATATTATCATCCGATCAAAATTCGCCAAATTACTTATCAGCATATCTTAGGTTACACAAGTCCATTGTGCGTTATTTATTAAACTTAAGAGAAGAAAGAACGCGTCAATCGGTGGAATGAGGCGGCACCTACCTGCTTGTCCAGCGTGAGCTCGAGCTCGAGCTGCCCCGGCGACAGCACGAAGTCCTTGCGCACCACCGTGCAGGGCTGCGGGCCCGCCTTGGCCGGCGCGAACTGCACCTTGCGGATGCCCAGCGCCACCGTGCTCCTGCCACACGCCCGCGCAAGCGTCAGGATCACAAGCCAATCATACCGCACTCATAATTATTCTTGACGAGAATGAAACGAGCCCCAAGCCCAGCCTGACAATCTCAGCAGCTCGGAGGTTCACTCACAAACAGCGGGTCTGACTGTAACTTAACTGTTATCTGTATACAGTACCTCTAGTACGAAAAACTTTCGAGTTCGTTTCGTTTGCGTATTCAAAGTGTCATCGAAAAATTTTGTATGAAAAATTAAACAGCGCCCCCTATATAATAGCCGCCCTATCTACCCCAGGACACTTCAACATGACTTTTGACAAAGTGGCATTCTAGTGCTGCGCTGCCGCCGATGATTACCGTCTGTGCGAGCGGTCGATCTCGGAGTCGCCCACGAAGAGCTTGACGTAGTAGTGCACGCCGCAGGGCTCGCCCTCGTCCTCCAGCCCCGGCTGCAGCGTGACGGAGCCGGGCGCGCCCGCCGGCACCGCCAGCCGGAACGCCACCGCGCCCGACCCCAGCTTCTTTATCAAACGCTCCTGTATAAATAATTTTAATAGTTGAAGCTAGTACGTTAGAAATGATACATTTCAAAACTCGCCCTATTTATAACTCGCCAAATTGGTAACGCTTCATGTAAGCAGCTGCATTATGGGCCTGTTCATCTCCGCGAGTTTGCATCGAAAACAAAACACGCGCGACTACCCCTCCTGAGATACCAAATCGACAGGACAATCACGAGCGAGTATTGACGCACGCACGTATTCTTCACCCATTTGCATTGTAAAGACATTAAACCATATGTAAAAACGGTGGTGCAATTAATACTGTGCAGTATTTTTTAACTGCCTGAATAATATTAGAAACACAAAATATAATATTCATGCCTATTCATGTATTTCCTCCGCCATTTTTTGCAGTTTGGCACCTCACGTCACACATCATTTTACCGAAGTCAGCCCTATGTCTTCGGCGCAGTACCGATCACTGACGTTTGTCAACAAAATGGTGCTCGACTCTTGAGACAAGCTAAATTACACCATATTGTTAACGATATTGAGCATATTTTTTTTAAATACCTTTGCGAAGAAAATCTTCTGTACGAAGTACTTATTATTATTCTGTGATTATGTTAAGAAAACATGAACTATTGAATCTTGGATAAATGAAATCGTAATGGGCCTCGACCTGCGTCTTGGAGAGTTCGTAGGGCCTCTTCTCGGGCGGCGGGTAGATCTGCTCGGAGGCGAGGAACAGCTCCTTGTAGAAGTTGAGCCCCATGACCTCGTCCTCCTCGCGGCCGTAGCGGAACGTGCACACCACCTGCCCGAACACCTTGCGCCCGCGCACGTACTCCTCGTCCAGCAGCACCACGCCGTCTGCGGGACATTTATTATCAAGCTGCATTTTACTAAAAATAAATTATTCATTCAGTCTATAATAATTTAACTCTCATTCATTTAAATTATACATAAATTATATTCCTCCTATGTTCCATTGATAAAAAATTCGCGCTTACATATTAATAAATTAAAAGAAAATCTCAAATGACATAGGTATTATTTACGCTTTAGATGTTATGTAAAATCATCTGCAATGACTCATGCATGTGATAAGTATAACCAGGTAACTATTTTAAAAAAACTACGAGTAAATACGAGGAAGTTGTAGTCATCATTCTTAGAAGCGTCGAAGAACAAACCTCCTCAATAGAGGATAGGGGGAAGTGGGGCAATAATGGGTTACACTGATGGATCGCCGCAGCTGTGGCCGCGTGCGCCAGGGTAGTTAGGTAGGTATGCACTTGTTCCTAGTTTATTGTTTATTCTTGAAGTTACTTAAGTAGCTTTGCTTTTTCCAACAAAACTGTACGAGCACGATCGTACCTATATCCTAATTCCTACCTACTGCACCGTCAGCATCGATGTATGTAGGTACACTCTCTACTTCTCTCGCTAATCAAAGTGAAAGTCCATAAATGTTAAATGCTCAGATCATAATGATCTGAGGTTAAATGTGTAATAAATGAAATATAATTTGGTGGAGAATACAATAAAATAAATTGCCGAATATACGTAAAGAAAGGTAGGTAGTTACATAAATTTTTGTATCATGTAGGTACTTATCTAACATGGATTTTTTTTCAGTCCTAGTGAGGATATAGGTAGCAAGAAGGCGCTGGACGCAGGCCGCTAACAACCGGGCAACATGGAAAGCATTGGGGGAGATTGGGGGAGGCCTATGTTCAGCAGTGGACGTCCTATGACTGTGACGATGATGATGATGAGTAAGGATATTACTATATTACGAGTATGTACCTAGCTTAAACAATATTAAATTCATTTAAATTCAATGTTTTCAGACTTCGGATTCGACCTCAGGATTCGACTCTGGCTGGTCACAGAATAGATTTTTTTTAATGATTAGTAATTTGTTATTTGTCAAATTTTTAATACTCCCGTTGGCCCCTCGTACTAAGCTAAATATTAGTAGATGCAAGTCTCTGGCTGAGAATATCGCACCACACACAGCACTTGCGTCAGCCCATCATCGGGCAGGCCACGTCGCACACGCACCTATCGGCTCCACGTATGAGATGTGGTCGATGAAGTCCCGCTTGGCCATGTAGAGGGTGATCTTGCCGTTGGGCGCGCACTTTTTGAACACTTTAAAGTTGTACACCATCTTGACTGCACTGCTGGTTCCACTGGCCAAAAAACTGCAAGTTTATCACTTGGTGGTTAGTATCGGTTCTGGGGGCGTCGCTACGTCCCAGGATTTCAATGCTTCAAACGAAGCGGTTCCGGCACTTATATAGTGGATTATTAGTTCGCGAGGCTTCTGAGCCGCAGTAATCTCGTTTGTCTCATTAGCCCCCGCCTCACGTGCTCAGGGGGCGCAGGCGGAGCGCGGGCTTCGGACGATTTACGCCTACATCAATATTTTGTGACTTAAGGATCGAATGAGTCACCTTTGGTTGGTTGGTGTATTCATAATACTATTAGCGAAAGATTACGAATTTCCTTACATTCGAAGTACCTACTTACATTGTCTCGTACCGTTATACACGTTAAAATATTTTCTTTGGCAAGTGGGGATAGTGGGATCCTGTTAAATAAATGCAAACAGTACTATTATGTTACAGTCAATGCTCATAACCGGTAAAACCACTTTTCACAGCAAAAATCACGCAAAAGTAGTTTTATGCCCGATATGCCCTTAGTTAATTATAACTACTTTTGATTGATTTTTGCAGTTAAAAGGGTCGAAAATGTAGTTAAATAGTGTTTGTGACTAAATAGTATCGGATGCTAGAGGCACAAACACTCTGAAAAAACAACTAGTACCTACCTACCTAACAAACAAAATGTGCATGTTATTTTTTAGAGAAGGTGCGATTTACCTATTTATACATGACATTTGTGATCTTAGGATACTAAAATAATAATTTAACTGGAGTCGATCTTGAACACCTAGGTGATTATATTCAAAGGACACTAAAGTGGGTGGATAATATGGACACTCGGCTGATTTCAACCAGCCCAGGTGATTAAAGAGGAATAAACCCTACATGGAGTTTAAAAAAAAATAATTTGAATTTTGAAAACTACCGCACCTTTCACGTAGTGCATTGTACGAAACTATAACCAACCGACAAGACAATGAACTTCGACAAGAAGTGAAGCGTGATTAGAAACGCCTTTGATGACGTCACCGCCACGCTGTCTCACCGCGCAACCGCGCATTCCGCTATGCGCGGGCGCGTCTCCCGCTCCCGCGCTCCCCGCACCGCAACGCGGCAACGTACAGTTAGAGGCACCTCACTCAACCGGTAACTCGTCGAGTTGCGTCTTCCCGCGTTGTTTGTATACGCTGCGTGTTTGTAAATCTGCTTCGTCGCAAAACAAATTGTGCAGTGTATTTCTGTAACAAAACAGATACAGGCTTACATAGCGTGCCTATTATTACTTTAGTGAGTGTATTCGTGGTGGTTTCGTATGTTTTCTGAATTAGGTTTGCAATCACATGAGGATTTTCACATTTCTCAAACTGGAAAACGGTAAAGTTTCCTCTTTAATAACACAATATACCTACCTACACTAACGGCTTCACCCGCGTGAAATTTAGCTTGTCACAGATCGTCATAATTTATTGCATAGATATTATGTAAAAACCTACTTATTATTAATTCTGATGTAGGTACCTATAAACAATAATAATGTAAAGTTTCATCAAAATCCGTCCAGTACCTACTTGTTGCGTGAAAGATTAACAAACATAGGTAGGTACCTACCTAGACCTACCTACATCCATAGAATAGGATTTAGGTACTTAGCACATCATTATTGTATTTATTGTGTATGTGTTTTTTATAATAAAGATAAATAAATAAATAATATTTTTACATTTTTACCAAAAATATTAAAACATTCTATATGTAGAAGTAAAACTTAGAAAATAAATTTAAATTTTGATTGCCTCCCGTACCACTGGTGTTGACCGACTCACTATTTTCTCGCAACTTTTCTCGACACACAACACTTACATAATATTATTATAGTAATAAAAGACTGCGAAAGAGGGTAGACCTCAGTTTTATCAGTTACTGGGTACTCCGTGACCATGGCGCTTAAATTTGTGTGCAAGGAAGTTTCTGACTCTATATGAACTTGATAATTGTATTAGGGTATATGCGCCAGTTTTCCGTCCAGCTCCTGTTTTCGTCCATTTGACCGACTTGCCACAATCAAATACGGAAAATTAGAATACAAACCTAACTTTCCGTGCAAGTTTGGACTTGTTACAATCTATAATATCTAAGTAACAGTTCTGCCTGCATGAAAATCGATGGTGGAAGTATCAATTAATGTAAGGGACATTTTGGCCAAAATGAGTTATATATGTTACGGCTAAAGATAGTTGTGAACATAAACTTAAGATTAGCCGGCTAAACTTAAGTTTATCTTCGAGAAGCAGCTAAACTTCGATAACATGTTAGTTTGCGTCGTAATATTCCATCTTTAGCCGGCTAATGTGCACATTAGCCAAATCGAAACGGCTAAAAATGTATTCGATGGGCGCGCCAGGATGGCGGAGGGCTTGAGGGGGCAGACAACGCGCTCGCAGTTTTATTTTGTTTTATTTTGTAATTTTAAATACCTACAGAAGATTCAATTGTAATGACCAAATGGTTCCTTATTATTTTATTTTAATGATTAGGTAGATATTGTTTTAAGTGATTAATATTTTGTTATTGTAATAATTGTAATTTTGAATACCTACATAGGTACATAAAAGTATGTGTAATGAAAGTGATTATTTTTTAACACGTTCCGCCGCGGTAACGGCATATACAGTAAAGGTGGAATTCATTCATATTATGGCAATACCGGTCTCGCCGTTTTCACGAAAATCAATCTAAAAACCACTACGGCAACAACCGTCGATTTTACATTAGTTTCATAGAGAGCAGACTTGTTGTTGCAAAATATTGTGAACAACAGTACGGGTATAGGTGTATGAAACATTTGTATGAAGATTGTTAGTGTCATAGTGGACCGGAGTACCTACAGCGTCGGAACTTGTTAATAAAGTTTTCGTGTCAAAATAGTAAACATTATTACATTGTTTCCTTTTCCATTTCCTTCTACATTTTTAGCCAAGGGCCTGCGGTTACACTTAAGTTTAGCCGGCTAAAGATAAAAGAAACTAACATTAACACCTCGTCGAAGATAAACTTAAGTTTAGCCGGCTAAACTTAAGTTTATGTTCACACTTATCTTTAGCCGTAACATATATACCAACGGATTCAGAATTTTCGGCTCTATCGATTGGTATACTTGAAATGTTGTTATCTTTAAAAAATGTCCCTTACCTTAAACATTTTTAGTCGTCTGAATACGACTTTTGGGGAAATAAATGATTTAAAGGACGGNAGGGTAGTGTCTTGGGGCCCGTGCTATACCTATTGTTTACCGCAGACCTGCCAACAACTGCAAATACATTCACAGGAACCTTTGCTGACGACAATGTAACAATGGCAACACACGACGATCCAGTCACGGCCTCATTCTATATCCAGGAAAGCCTGACGGAAATGGAGAAATGGTACCATTCATGGCGTATTAAAGCGAACAGAGAAAAATCTGTGCATGTTCATGTAACCTTCACTTTAAAAAGAAACTCCTGCCCACCGGTTAAACTTAATAGTATCCAAATACCTCAGGCTGAGCCGCTGAGGACATTAGGTATCTGGGCTTGCACTTGGACCGCAGGCTAACCTGGAGAAAGCATATATGGACAAAGAGGAAGCACCTAGATGCCAAACTAAGAAACATGATGTGGCTTGTCGGAGGCCAGTCACAGCTGAACACCAGTAGCAAAATGATGGTCTACAAACCTATCTGGACCTACGGGATACAGCTGTGGGGAACAGCTGCCAACTCCAATCTCGACATAATCGAGCGCTTCCAGACAAAAGCCATACGTTTGATTTACCAAATCCCGTGGTATTTTAGCAACAGGCTCATCTATCAGGACTTGCCATTGCCCACNAGTTATTGTATCAAAGGCATTATAACAATACTAATTAATTATTGAATGAAGAAAACATCGGCAACATCGTACCTACTTACCCTATTTCAGCAAATTAGCACTAGAAACCAAAGAAAGCGACATCTACACTGTCGACCACTTAACGCTAACCCGATGCTGTGAGCACTCAGACTCAGGGGCTGTGAATTTTATTCGTACTTATTTGTCTAGATGTCGCTTTCAGTCTGCAATCCTGAATGTTTGTAAAGTTGTGTATGATTTGATTTTATGAACTCGCCTTATTCGCTACTGACTGATTGTTGTTTTTTTCTATGTTACTGTAGTAATAAATTAGGTACCTACCTAACAATGATTAAAATAAAAGAGAAAATACGGTACGAGCTCGCATTGCAAACCTACAACGTGTCGCCTTATTCGCTACTGACTGATTGTTGTTTTTTCTATGTTACTGTAGTAATAAATTAGGTACCTATCTAACAATGATTAAAATAAAAAGAGAAAATACGGTAGGTACGAGCTCGCATTGCAAACCTACAACGTGTAGGTAGGTATGTAGTCAAAACGTGGTCAAAACTAAGCCCTTCTGATAATTAATCGATTCATCCACACACGTATTTCATTTTTAAGCGGCTCATTCACGAGACGCCTTCCCTTTTTGTTTCAATAAAGGGGCCCATGGAAAAATGTACCTATGTAAGAAGATCACGGAACTTAAATTAATTGTTATCAATAAAATAAAATCAATCTAGTCACAGGTAGGTTAACACAAAATCAGTTGGCTAATTATATTAAATACCTAAGTCGATGGCTCCTACGTATACTGGCGTAAGTGAAAAAAGTAAATTTTACAGGAGAGCCATTTTAGTGGCCAGAACCATATTTTCGGGTCATATCTTCTGACCTACTAAAACGAATTTAATGAAATTTCACATTTAGCCTTAACATGTAATGCTTTTGCTACTGCTATTATCAATTTTTATATTTTTCTTATATATTTTGAGATTTTACGCATTGCCCTTTTACGTCGGCATATTTCTATAATTTCATGTATATTGTTCAACGTAAAGAGACTTAAATGACAACGTAAATATAATATTTTAAGCGATTACTCTCTTCATTTATGCATGTAATTATTTTAATTGTTATCATGTGCTATATCAATAATAAATCAGTTAGAAAAAGTCGTTTAATGTACCGTTTTACGTTTTAACGCAAATACGCCCATATACTGTGCTCGAGATTTAGTTAGGTCTTTTAACATAATGAGTCATATTTTAAAAAAATATAAATAACTTGAAAAAATCGAATTGCCTAAGGCAGGAATTGAACCCACGATGCCTTAGGCAGTTCGATTTTTTCAAGTTATTTATAATTTTCAAATTAGTTTGAGATGCGACTCTTAACGCTAAAAATTAAATATCTATATAATGTGTCATAATTTATAAATAAAACAATTTGCTAAATATTTTCGTGGCTTTATTTAAGATTTGGATTATAAAAAATATATGTTTATGTAAGCAACTACTCGTATAGATTGACGAATCGTATGATTGGGCTTTATACGTGGCGTAGTTTTGNTAAATACCTTCGCGAAGTAAAACTTCTGTACGTAGTACTTATGATTATTCTGTGGTAATTCTAAGAGTGAATATTGTTTATCAATCAATATACGATGTTTTTGTTTCCCAGGCAACCACAGAACAGCTCCGGATGGCTCACATGATAGACCGTAAAAGCGAAGACGCTTCCGACGTCCGCAGAATGGTGAGTGTGTTTGCATTTTGTACTTTATTTTTTGGGTAGTAAAGCTAGTTATTCGTCACTGCTCGGTCAGTCTATGAACTGACCTGATGATGGTGGTGCCAGAAAAATGGTACTTTGTAAACTTTTTTGCATAAAAGACAGGTTCAGTTCTTTCTTTCTTTCCTTACCTCTGGGCCATGACTTTGACTTATGGTCCTATGTCCCCTAGATGGGGCAGAGGGCGTCCACAACAGTCCTCCATCTCGTTCGGTCTTGAGCTTCTCGCTTGATCTCGCTCCAGGTCTTGCCGATCTTGCCCCTGGGCCATACACATCGCGATAACCCGAAGATCCGCGCTAAAGCGATGTGTGTAGCCAAGTATTCGGGCATAAATAAATAAAATAAACAAATATACTTCGGTGCTTTTAGTCGTTAGACTTCATGGTCACTGTGAAATCAATGTCGCCCGAAAGTCCAGGGGTTAGAATAACAGGAATTACTACTTCAAAAATACACAACTGGCACGTAAAATTAACAGTTGATCGACAAAAGTCGTACTTATTTTGTTTCAAATAATGATTGATGTACTGTTTCTTGTGTACTATCTCTGTATAATGAGAACATTACTCAATCCGCCACTCCATAACGACCTGTGGCGCGTACAATACATGAATGTGTTAATGTGGGAGCCTCAGACAATAGGGGTCGCTCCGATCGCTGCTCGATTGTGGAAGGGACCATTACGGAGAAATGACCCGTTAATGTTGTGTATTTCACACACGGCTCTGGTGGAAGTGGGAAATTCCGTGTTGATTGTAACCTTAGTGAAAAGTATTAAATTACAGTTAACATTTGTGGTATATGTGCTAAGCAGCGAGTGTTAAGAAGTGCTATTGCCATCTACATTTACATTCATGTACCTAGGGACAGGATGATGTTTCTATCATAGAGTGGCGTCTTCTAGTCTTCTTCTATCATTTGGTCAGACTTAATAAGCAATTAAAATTAAATTGCGAGCGTCGGGTGATGTTTGCAGTTCGCTCCTTTATTAATTAGGTAGTTGATAATTTTTCTTTTGTCACTTTGTTTACTATTTTTTTACATAAGTTTATATTTTTTACAACAAAATTTTATTCATAATGGTTTGCCCAACTTTATGTGTATATTTAACTGTGGAAACTTAATTGGTTTATGTGTTTTCTTACTGCACCTAAGTTAAATTATATTGTAACTGTATGTTTCCCAAAAATAAATAAATAAATAAATAAAGCTCCTGTCCTATAGGGCACTTTCGCTTTTGTTAGAAGCCCTGATTATAAGCAGGGCCTTCAAAGTATGGAATTATATTCATTTATTTCACATGTAATGTAACCTTGCGCAAAGCTATTCCTTAGGGCCTTGCCACACTGGCGGATTGCAAGCGTTTTCTGTGGGTAGCAACGCCGCGGCATTTTCTAAGCATTTTGGCGACTGCAGCGCCGCTCCGCTTGCAATCCGCCAGTGTGGCAAGGCCCTTACTGATTTCAGATCGTTATTTACTTGCGCCCGGAGATATTGTAAAGCCTGGTCCGTGAGCACGTAGAATCCCGTCCAATGACCCCAAGCTACCCATCCTTATCGCTCGCGCGTAATTATATTGCTGTGGCGACTGTGGGACGCGCGCCCGCAGTGAGTGTGCGAGCGCGACAGCAACATAATTACGTGCGAGCGACAAGGATGGGCAGCTTGGGGTCATTGGACGGGATTCTACGTGCTCACGGACCAGGCTTTAGACGTTGCAAGAATCTTCATCACACATTTCTTACACCCCACATTAATTTGAACTTTATGCTTCTAAGATACGGTTGAAAACTGATTATCCTTCGTGCCAGGTCCTTGAGTTGATGGAGATGACGTGTCGCACGGAGGAAGAGGTGTGTTCGGCGCTGCACGACTCCGACAACGACATGGTGGCCGCCTGCAACCTGCTGCTCGAGGAGAGCCCCAGGATACAGGTATAAAGGCAATGGGCAGGGCACATAGTACGCAGAACTGACGGCTGATGGGGCAGCAAGGTTCTGGAGTGGAGGCCGCGCCCATGTGGACCGACGACATCATAAAGGTAGCAGGAAGGCGCTGGACGCAGGCCGCTACCAACCGGGCAACATGGATAGCATTGGGGGAGGCCTATGTTCAGCAGTGGACGTCCTATGGCTGAGATGATGATGATGAGCTCTGCCCGCGCAGACAGAGGCGATTGTGGCGTGAAATAGCTAACCATAGAACTACCTGTCTGGAAATCACGAGAAGTATAAAATATGAGCTCTCCAGGTGCTCAGATAGAGGTGATTTTAGCATATAAAGTAATGGAACTACCTCTCTGGCAAGTATGAGGAATGTTGGTCAAATTGAGTAAATGTAATATAATTTGTCATGCTTTGTATACTAATTTTGGCTTATGGTCCAATTTGTATTTTTTTTCCAATTTCTCTACGATGAAGCCTAGATTGTAAACTGTTTGTATACCTATTACAACTCTGACTGCTCCACGGACCACACGTCCTGTAGACCTTTTATTCAAGACCAGCTTATTTATTTATTTATTTATATTAGGAAGACCAGGGTTTACATAATTATGATGGTAATTCATGATGGTAGTTCCATTACGATCAGGTCATTTTAGTCTCCACTGTAGGACCAATCCTTTCCAATTTACCAGCCGCAAATCGACGATTTGACCCCCTTCTCACATGGAAACGGGATGAAAAAACTATTCTTTATTTTTCTCTGGGTCTCAAACTATAGTAACTAAGTAACTGACATCTATCCAGCCATACATTAGGCTGGTCTGTATGAACTGCTAGGGAGCGGAGCGGTTCCTCCGGACCGCATTACTCTAAAACGCTCCCTAGAAGTTCATACAGATTGGCCGTGCGGAGCGGGTCCGCACCGGACGGTCCGCGTGACACTAAAACCAACCTTATAGAATAGAGGGGGCAGTATGCAAGGAGTTATTTATGAGTTGCTTTGTTGCAGGGCGAGTGGCAGACCAGCGAGAAAAAGAAAAAGAAACCACCCGCTGCCGGCAACGGGGAGCTCGAGACACGCGCGCGCGCGCCCAACAACAGACCTCGTGAGTCACTATTCATTACATCACTTGAATATTTGTAATTACTTTATGAACATTTTGTCTTTGTCAGTCAAGCTTTGTTTCAGCCAAATTCAATTTTCTCGCAAAAAAACTGAGTAACTATTGTATTTTTGTGTCAGGTAAATTAATGATTTGGATAATATGGATATTGTCTGTCTGTCTGACACGTGCAAATATGGCTATGTAGTAGTGATGTAACGAATATGTATTACTTTTACGAATACTAATATTAAATCTACTATTCGGCGAATACGAATATCTCTACATAGTCATGAAATACTCATAAATTTAACTGTTTTTATCATGGTTAATGTTTTAGTGATTAAAATTTACAAATGGCATTTTTTTTTGTATTGTCTCACTTTACTTTGTAACTAATCAATCACAGACTGTCAACTTCCGGAAGAGAACTTACTTTACTTTGTTACATACTGACCGGGGGTTTCCCGTCATGTCGTTGTGGCTATAGTGTTCGGAGACACACACGTGTGTGACAAAATTTAAAAAAGTAGGTATTTGTATTCGTAATTATTATTTCACCGAATACAAATATTCGGTAAATGACTACTATTCGGCGAATACGAATATTCGTATTCGTTGCATCACTACTATGTAGGGACCAGTGGGCTGAGTTTGAGTTTACATCAAACGCGACCGTTAGCGTGCGGTCAGCGCGACTCTAAAACCAGCCCCATACATTTCGGCTGTCAGCGCTGACGGTCAGCGTGCGTCAGCGTGACTCTAACCAGCCTTAGATTGTTATTATTCTTGCAATTGTTCTGGCTGTTCCTAATTTGACTGATGTTTTCTTTCCTAAGGCCCGGTTTTTTGATTCGTAGTTAAAATAACCAATAGTCAAATTTGACAGATGTCAAATGACAAGTGGTTAAATATCAGAAAAAAATGTTTTTCGAACAATGGTTAGCTTGACTTTTAGTACATTTTTTAACTATTAGTTAACATTTTGTTAATATTTAACCATTAGTAACAAAATTTAACAATTTGTTATTTTAACTATGAATCAAAAAACTGGGCCTAAGGGTTTGAATCTCACGTATGTATGTTCAACCATCAGGTCGCGGCGAAGGCGAAGGCGGTCGNAGAGAGTTGGCTAAGCTAAAGAAATAGCCAAAATGGACCCTCGTAAAGCACCTTCATTTGATCTGATCACCATGCAGTCCATGGTCATGACAATGACACACAGAGTGAGATCCTCGCAAGTCTCTTAACTTTGGAAATGATCCATAAGCCTGGCAAGTCGCCCTACGAAATCTCCTCCTATCGCTCAGTTAATCTGATATTTGTATTGTTAAAATTATGGAAAAGGATCATTCTTTCTCGTCTATTCTAAGTATGACCCATGTAATATAGTATACCCGACCATAAATTTTGGCAGAAACCATACCAACCATAATCAGTACAATGTTTGAAAGAGAAAGAACCCTGTACGGCTGCTTTCGCTGCGGCTTCAGCTAGGTTTAGCATAAAGGACTACTCTATAAAATTAAAAAGTACCTTCCAGCACACTTCTACTACCTACTGAACGGTGATGATAATGGAGTCTTATCTCAGTGACAGACAGTTTTAAATCAAACTCCGTGACAAAATTTTATCTTTTTAGCTGCAGAGCTGGAGTACCCCAGGTCTCTGTACTTGGTCCGGTACTCTACAACATTTACTAGTAAAGCAGCCCAGACACCAGAAAGTTGCGGCTTTCCTCAAATGTAACAGTGATCTTAAAGCGACTAGACTGTTGTAAAGTCAACTAAATGCCAATAATGCTTGGCTGACCAAGTGGCGCATGTGAGCAAGTCCCGAAGTTTCACCATATTATCGTTTAAGACGTCGTCAACTTATACTCCGGCCAATCTAGACCTCGACACATTGCTGCAATCAACCTACATTAAAAACCTGGACCGTAGGATGACATGGAAAGACCATAAATATTAATAAAACAGATCTGAACATAATATTATGGCATCTAACTTTGGTCGACCGACAGTCAGCTAATCCATCATTAACTGTGTGCCTCCAAAGAGCTCCAAAATACAGGTTAGGGGCACATTGGTACGCTCGCCTTTAGGAAATACACGAAAACCTGATCTCAGCCAAACCTGCTATCCAATTATCAAAGTATCTATGATCAAGAGAGCTAATTTACTTGGGTAAACCACTGCTCTAGTAGCTCTACCGTGTCAAAACCCCAACCAACTGCAAATTACCTGATTAGTCTTGACGACTAGCAAAGCAGACTTAAAAAAGCAGATTTAAAAAAAATACCTAATGAATAAAGGTCAAACAAGGTCACGCCGCCGACGCCGCCGCCGCCGAAGTCAAAAAGTCGGCGCGCCGCCGCCGGCCAATTATATATCGGCGC